GTATTTTGATTATTAACATTTATTCATTATTTATATTTTTCTTTTATCATTTAAATAATAATTAAATAATAATTTAAAGATATTAAAAAAAAAGTAAAAATAGATGGGTTGTCTGTTAACAGACGGTGTCTGTGCCGTTTGTTAAACAGACAGCAAAGCTGTCTTCCCCGTAGACGGCCCCCTTGTCGGAGATCGCCATCTCCGGCACCTAAACTTTAAAAAATGTTAGTTTTTACTATTTTTACATATTCTATAAAGACTTCTACCACTATTTTCAACAAAATAAACCTTTAATATAGATTTATGGGGGAAAAATTATGCAAAACTTACTTTCTTCGCTTTTAATGGTGGCTGGTCAGTCTTCTCCCAAGAAAAACTCGTCGATTTCCTTCTTTCTCTCCTGTCGTTGATTTCAGAATTTTATTATCAGGGGTAGTTTTGGGTTTTCATTCTTTTTAAAGCCTTTACAAATTTTTGATTTTTTTTTTAAGCAGTGGTCAACAGCTATTTTAAAAATTGTATGTTTTTTTTTGCCTATCTATCACCATTTCCTCGACGTATTCGGACCCAAAAAAAAAAAAAAAAGGAAAAAACCATGGCATGGCTGTGCATCTTTCACCAAATGTTGCTAATAATTTCAGCAACATTACCAAAAAACAAAAACACCAAACTGATATTACATAACTTATCGGGTCTGTGCATCTTTCAATTTGGCAGATTTTGCATGTTGTCGTGCTCATGCCTTTGTCGATCTCAAATTGGCAGATTCCACCTCTGTCATGTCATGCAATCCGTCCACTGTTTCGTCGAAGTTCACATTATCAGTTGGAACATGATGTTTGATCGACTGACTGCAAATAGTTGTCGTTGGCCAGATCGAATACATCCTGACCAGGGATGGAGCTTCGATAATTGATTTTCTGGATTGAGGGATTAGGATTTTGAATGTCAACTGATTTCGGAGATTTGGGAATTTGTAGATGGAGCGTCGATAATTGATTTGGGGATACTGGGTTTCACGTTTAGGGTTTGGGTTTTAATTGGGAAAGACGCTTCCATTTCCTCAATATGTTAAAGGCATGTTTGGCGATGACACGGCGCTGATTTGGCAATCCACTTACCATTTGGAAGGAGTTAACTGACCACCTCATGTTTCCGTCCACCACATCAGCATGTTTTGAAATGTCATCCATCCGTTGAGTAATGGACTCTAACGGAGTAAAGCTCGGTGACTAATGTGACAATTTTGGAAGTTCGATGAGTAACTGTGACATGGTTCAAAGTTCGGTGGCCGTGGAAACATTTAACTCAAGATCTACAGTCCACTCCATTTATTCAACAAAACCTACGTTAAATCCACAGTTGCACCCAGTTAATAATCTCTGTTTTTTTCTTCTTCTGTAAATCTATATAAACTAGTAGAAGAAGAGGAAATGGGATTATGGGCATTTATAGGAGTGATATCTCCATTCCCATTCTACTACTGGCTGTGGACAAACCCACAATCATGGGTGGATCTTTGCGGGAGAGGCCGTGATCCCTGCAGAGTCATGGCATTGGTTTCTCATTTTCTCAAAATAATACAATTCATATCCCTCTTTTCTGTCTCTACGATTTCTTGGCCGCCATCGTTTTACTTCTGGCCCCTCTTTATTGCTGGGCAATTCCTCAACTTCAGGTAACCCATTTCTCCTCCATTTTTGGCAGGTTTCCTGAGGTGGATTTGTGATGGTAGTGGACAGTAATGAACAAAAATAAGTTAAAATCTTAATCGTTGTTGTGTTCAGTGCTGCGGATTGAATGTGCCTCTTATGTGTTTGTATATTTGCGTGTGTGGGTTTTGGAAGAGTTCTATTGATACCTAACTGAAGTTTTAATCTTTTTAAAATTATGTACAGGATGATTAGCAATCGATACTACTGGTTTATGGAGTATTTTTGCCAAAATTGGGGGTGTGGATATGGGGAATGTAGAATTATTTAGCTTAGTAGGTTAGCTTATTGGGAATTTGGGTTCGCCAGTGAAGTATTGTACCAGCTTCTTTACCTCTTGTGCCATTGCTCTAATTGAACAAGGAATTTGTAATTCTCATTTCTTGATTATTGTTTCAATGCAGTGATCTCTAAATTCCCGGGAAAACTGCAGTGCATTATATTTCTTCTTGTTAAAGTTCAGTTTATAATGATTGTATTTGTACTGCATTCGAATACCACTCTAACTAGACAAGTTTGATGACATGAAAAGCACGAAGTTGTGTTATTTTAGTCGAACTGGTAGCGTGAATATATAGAATGCCCACTGAAGGACAATTTTGGTTGCCTAAGATTTGTTTTCTTCAGAATCTACGGGAGTCCATAGTTCATTATTTCAAATGCTGTTTCATGCACTTCATTCCTTTCATTTCTCACTGTGTAACAATGTGCTGTTGATCAAGAGTAGATTTTATATGTTATTGGCCTACTCCTGCAATCGTGTAAGCCTCCTCGAGAAAAGAACTAAATGCAGACAAATTTACCTCTCTAGCATATACTTCTATTGGGTTGGTCTTGACATGCATGATTAGAAAATGGACTGGTGTATAATAAGCTTAAATCTTGTGTATAATATTGTTGAGTGCTGTCCAATACTGATATACCAAACATCTACTGGATGTTCATTCCATAAATGATCACATTTTGAAACTATGGCATGAAATTTTAGTTGATTTCCCGTTCAAGCATATGCCATTTTTGGTAGGACTTTAATCTCTAAACATTCTCTCACGTGATTGTTGTACTCACACAATCATGATGCAGGGTCTATCAACTGTTAGGAGAATCAGGGACGTACTATGGTGTACGTTTTGGAAAGAACATCCCATGGGTGACGGAATTCCCCTTAGGAGTAATCAAGGATCCACAGTATGTTGGCAGTATAATGAGTCTTGTTGCATGTCTCCCTTGGGTTCCCTTCTTCTACATTATTACGTGGGTTCTTGGCTATATATTTATTATTCTCGTTGAATCTAAGGAAGATCCAGCTACTCGTGCCAAACCACACTCCTGAATTTACTAATTGCGAATCAGTTTGATATATTACAAGTTTTTATCATTCATGCAATCTTGTTATCATGGAAGTTATCGATTTTTGCTCCTTTGTAAGCATATTCTATTTCAGGAAGCGTTTTTAATAAAAATGGCTCTTTTTTGGGTTCTATGCTCCTATCTTGCATTATTGGCTGATTTAAAGCACACCTTTCATGATGATGGCTTGGAGAAGATGATGATGGTTTGTTTTATCTTGTTTTGAGGGCAAATTTGTCTTTTCACGACAATGATGTCTCCTAAAAATTGGACACTTGAGGAGCTTATTATTGAGAAGTAGAAGATAAAGCTAAAAGTGGGCATATGTTGGGAAGACATGCAATTTGGACATAAAAGTAGGATCGACATTTTACGGATGAATTCAATATTGAAATCTAAGTAAAAATGACTACTATCTGTAAACTCAAAGAAACAAAAAATAAATAAGTGAGAAAGGAAGAAAATCTTCGTCTTCTTTCTTCTTCACCCTCCATCTCAAACGTGTCATCCAGATTCCAGAGCAACATAAGGATATTTGAAAGTAGAAGATTGAGGTGCCACCATGTGTAGGGACCATTTATGCCTAAAAGTGGAAGATTGAGGTGCTTAATACCAATAAAAAAGACGTTTGAACTTTGAGATTCAAGTATGAGTGGGATGGGTTGGTGATATATCCTTTTTATTATGTGAAAATTGCAGCAGATTTCTAACCTTTTCAAAAAGTATAAATGGTCCCAAACTTTTGTTTATTTGGCATTGTCATCCCAAATGTTTCAAAAAATATGCAGTGCGAGGACTTTTGAATGGAATCCGTGAGTAAGTGCATGAATTGTGTACTTTCCCACTTTTTTTAATGGCAAAATTGTCTCTTCACCATAAATTAAAATACGAGAGAGAAAAAAAATGAAATAAATATAAAGTATTATCTTCTCGAAATTCACCCTAATCAAACCTGCGGCACCACATCACATTACATTCATGCCTACCATTGTCATCATCACTACCAATACCTTATCTAAATATTGATATGCCACAGTCCTACTCTGAAGGAGATTTCTCTTTTGGTTTTGAGCCAATGGTTACGACTTGGGAGGGGGAAGAGATGAAGGTAGTGCCTGCAATGGGTGGCGACAATATGATTCATTGCATATGAGGTGGTGGTAATTTTGGGTGTGCAGGTTGGATAGGGGGTTGCGAAAGATGTTAAACTCTTTTTTTAATATATTTTTAATTATTTGTAAATGCCTTGACAATTTACTAGTACAATGTCAATTTTTAAATGTTTCTTCTACTGTTGTATAATGAGAAATCTCATTAAAATGTGAATTTAATGAGATTCAAACAGGGCTTAAATATTCAGGACTTATTTTTACTTATAGAAAAGATTAGCAACCCCGTTGCAATTATCCCTTTTATGTATTATAAATGTCAGTCGATTGTTGTCCTCAAAATCAGTTTAAGAAATTAAAAAGGGAAATCTTCCGTGGATTCTTAAGCAAAAATAAAAGCAAATTGGTTCTTTACGTGGCAACTTGTCAGTGGTTGGTTTTTCTTCTCTTTCCTCCTCCGCCCCGCTCGCCCACCCCCGCCTTCAGAAATTGTCCTCAACTAGGCTCCGTAGTCCCTCGCCTTGCTCAGATCACCGGCCTCCGGCGCCTACTACTCGCTGTTAAACAGCTAGCGCAGTCCTGGGACTGATAGAGTACGAGAATTCACTCACATTTTACTCTCTCACTACGGTTGTTAATTCCTGTACTCAACTCCTTCTGTTTTACAATGTACCCTCATTGTCACCCTTCCTAGAAGCTGAATAATTACTGGAGCCTATTGCGCGCTTTAATTTCCACTTCTCCACTAATTTTTCTAAACCCTAGTTTTTTACCAGTTTAGTTTAATGTCTGGACCGCCACGAGTGAAATCGGTGAATTTCACTGAATCGGAGACGAGGCCGGTGCTCGGACCAGGCGGTAATAAAGCTAGATCCATGGATTTGCAAAAGCCCATTTCGAAACCCAAGTTCGAGAAAGCCATGAAACCCCAAGATAGTGACGAGCCCGAGGGAAAAATGCCTCCAGCAGCTAAGGAAACTGAACAATCGTCTCCGAAGATGGGTTTCAAGAGGAAAAATAAAAGTGCAGCCTCCGTTTTGAGGACTCGGCAGCCTAATTTGTCAATGAACGCATCGTGTTCTTCCGATGCTTCTTCGGATTCATCGCACAGCCGGGCTTCCACAGGAAGGATTAACAGGCAGAACATTACCCCGACTGCACCAATTAGAAGGAGGCAGCAATGCAGCCCAAAAAGTGAGAGAGTTGAGAAAAGTATTGGGGGTGAGAGTGAAGGTATGATGATTGAAGGTTTAGTGGCCAAGAAGAGGTGTGCTTGGGTGACTCCCAATACTGGTATGTTGCATTTTACTCGCTTCTTTGATTTTCCGAGCTAATTATAATTATTTTATCTCATAATCAATTTGTTCAAACTTGTTAGCCAATCAGTAAGGATTATACAAAATATTTTGATGCTTTGACTATTGGAATTTTGAACTGGGCATGCCTAGAAATTTGGGTTCATTATGGTGAGGATTTGAAAATGAATGCCCCAGTTGAAGGTTCTTAGGTTGTTTTGACAACCATAGTATATATTTATTAATTTTGGACGTGTTGATATTGCGTCAGGTGGTTCACTTGAGAGAAATCACATGTCCACTAGTATATCCATTCTATATCAATAAAGAGGATACCTTTTGTGCTCTCATTTAGCTGTTACACGATGGTGTATTATCTATTGGTGAATGGCCAAATTGATTTGTTGAGCACGAACTTCTGGACTATGTTCTCCACATATGAATTTGAAGTCATTGCATGTAGTTAGATGATGATTATTCATACTTTTGGGAGGATTAATGAGAAAACTCGCTATGACCACAATGGAGGTTGAAGGGTAGCAGCCGTTTCTATTTTAGAGTCAATTAAACTACCTCCATCTAAAATGGTTTGACTTTAGTGGGTTGAAATATATTTCCAGATGTTCTTCTCAGGTTGCAGTTGGAAATATTTATTCAGATATAAGAATGGATTTCAAATGAACTGATTCAAGTCATTTATTTCAAATTCCTGTGTTCCTACATCTGTTGGTGGCAAGTGGATTTAGAGAGAGGATTTCAAATCCATGGAATTGATCTCTCTCTCTCTCTCAGAGGTAAACATTAAATTCTAGCCTACAAACAGAAAAGGACAAAGAAAAATTGTATCAAAGTTTATATGTATCAAAGCAAGCTATCCAATTACCCCAGCCAAACCTGGTCTCACAACGAAATCATATTTGTAATCGAGTATGTGAGATTGATAACCAACCTAGATTTCACTGTTTTCCAAAGAACTATTTCACAGATTTCATCAAATTTTTAGTGGCAAATTCAAGAAGTATGGAATGCCCATGTACTCAAGGAAAATTATTTAGAAAACAGATTTTTATGCATAACCTTTGTTGCTAAAACATTTTAGCTTAGGGTTAGGGAAACTGAATAGTTATCTACAGATAGAGAGGGTGTTTGGTGGAGAGTGAAATTAGATTTTTTAGTAGATTGTAATAAAAGTTCTTGAAATGCGTGGTTAAAAAGTAGTGGGATTCATGAAAAATGTGGTTAATATTGATTGTTTGACTTTGACTTAGACTAAAATCATATTTTAATTCAAACGAAACCGGCTCAGACACTTATCATGAGTAATACAGGATCCCCTCTCTCTCCTCCTCTGTGTGTTGTGCGTGTGAGAGAGAGAGATCCAATAATCATTGATGAATTGTGTGGATAGGTATCTGCGGATTCATTCATTAGTTTTAGTTGGAATAATTTGAAAAGACATTAATTTAGATAGATTTGGAATGGATTTGAAAACAGTAAGGGCAATGGGACATCTAATCAGCTGCCAAAGGCTAGGGGTATGGATTGAAATCCACGGGCCAAAAGGATTCTCGAGAAATGTCCGTCGAGTATGACCTATACTTTAGAAATCTCATTTGATCAACTTTCCTTCTAATTTCCCCTATGGGCTTTGGTTACCTACATCAATGGTCGTCCTCTTTCTTGATTTATATAGCCCCTGTTTGACCCCCCATTTTTGGAGGAAAATGTATTTTGGAATAGTGATTTTTGAAGAATGTGTGATTAAAAAATAAGAAAAAGTTTTGGGTTTACATATAAAAATATTTTATGGGAGAATATGTTGTTGAAAATGGGTTTTGGAAAAAATGGAGCCCAAACAGGGGCATGGTGTCAAACGTGTACTTGAGGATTCATTGATATTACAAAGCAGATGTTGCCGGTTCTAAAAATATTGCAGACATTGGCTGAGGTGTGATTTCATTGCATCGATGCTGAGTTCCGACCCAGTTTTGAGATTCTTCCGTCACTATATATTTGTCACTTTTAGTCCTCTTGCTGGAATGTAAATTTGCTAAATGTCCAATTACATTTTCTGTTGACTTCCTTGTTCTGATATTTTCCTTTTCCAAAAGATCCAACTTATGCTGCTTTTCATGATGAGGAGTGGGGTGTTCCAGTCCACGATGATAAGTACGTCCTTGCAGCTGAGTTCGCTTTCTGATTTGCAGCTTTCACTTTGAAAGAAACTCTGTTTGATAGCTTTATAATTGTTCATTTCTGTTCTTGACAATTTGCAGGAAGCTTTTTGAATTGCTGAGCTTTTCTACTGCGTTGGCTGAACTAACTTGGCCTGTCATTCTTAATAGAAGGCATATATTTAGGTATTTTATTTGTTTCTGTGATGTTTTTGACAATCAGAAAATTGCTTCAACAATTTGGTGATTTTTATTTTTCACGAGCTTTTGTTGTTGCTGGTTCAATATGTGAATATATGAATGCAGAGAAGTCTTTGCGGACTTCGATCCCATGGCAGTCTCAAAATTGAATGAGAAGAAGATAGCATCACCAGGAAGTCCAGCAAGCAGTCTTCTGTCGGAACTAAAGCTTCGATCAATTATTGAAAATGCACGTCAAATTTCCAAGGTATGCCCAGACCTTGTTGCTTTTGTCTTTTTTTTTTCCCTAAAAAAAAATATTCTACAAATTTTCGTTGTTACATTTTTCCTTTCATGTCTATGATTTATTATTATTTAAAGTATGGTAAGGTGTTGCCTTTTCATCCTTAAACAAGCTGCGAAAGACTGAAGATATTAATTAGTGTGGAAAAGATGGTGATGATGATATTCATTTCTATATATGAATGATGAATCCCAGTGGCTTTGATATTTCGCATTAGAAGTGATATCGAATATTTATTTACTTTTCTGCCATATTTTCAGTTAAGCATTTATACATGGTAAGATGAGTATGAGTATTTATCTAATCCAAATATATTGGCAGTTATGTAGCATATAAAATAAAATGTCTAATTAGTTAACATTTATATGGATCTTCCACTTTAAAGGGTCAAAAAACAATGAGTGTGTTCAAATAGTTGTGTTTATTAGTAAAAGATGGCAATGTTAAAATTTTAAGCTTAGCACCTAATGCAGTTCAACAATCATATATAGGTGACATATTTCTTTGCTTTCTCCTGATGCAGATAATAAATGAGCTTGGGTCTTTCGAAAAATACATTTGGGGTTTTGTGAACTTCAAGCCCATAACAGGTAATTTTCGCTACCCACGACAGGTTCCAATCAAGACATCGAAGGCTGAAACCATAAGCAAAGACTTGGTGAAAAGAGGATTTCGAGGAGTCGGGCCTACAGTCATTTACTCGTTTATGCAAGCAGCCGGAATCACAAATGACCATATCATCAATTGTTATAGATATCAGGAATGTATAGCTGCAGGTGGTGCAAAGGACAGGGATGAGGGCCTGAAGGCGAAGATCGAAGGGAAACAACCTGAAATTGCTGAATTCGAGTTAGTTAGGGCTATCGACGACTTGAGTTTATCAACTTAGTATTTGTCAGATGTTTGTAATCCGATGTATCGTAATGTATGATGTGGAGGGATAGTTTCCCTCAATTGGATCGCCCAATGGCTCAAGGGAATTTTATGTACAAATCGTTATGATTATTGTTTCTGTATACGTTAATAGAATTTGCGGAAAATGATATTCAACTTTTTCAGTTCTATAATATTCATACATTTTGTAGGATCAATAAGTATCACCAACAAACAACACATTCCTTGAGACAAACGTCCACTCATTGTATGATTCTCTACTATGTTTTTTATGCGTATAATGTAAGGTCCTTACTGAGTATACAATGTAACAAGTTTTTATTGCAAAGATGTATGAGATCTTCCATTAATGTGAGAAGCTTTTAGAAACTCCGAAAGAAGTCATGTACAAGAGAGGTGAAACAAGTCACGACAAAAATCGTACTCTTCATTTGGCCATCTGCCTTTCAGGGTGTTGAAGAAAATTTCCAGAAATAGCAGCTGCTAGCTCTGATATGAAATTTGGATCTCTAGTCAATGAAGAAGCCATTTGTTCTACCAAAAACTGTTGGAATTCTGGTGTATGAACTTTGCCATTTGAATTTCTCGCATCACGGCTCATCTTTTGTTTCGTTAGATCAAGAGTAATGGACAGTTCAGACGAGCTAAGAGAGGTTGAGCAAGGGATCGAGCCAAGTGTCACACAATGGTTTGAGCCCGAAGCCATCTCATGCTTGGACATGTGTGGATGGTTGTGCTCCCCTTCATAGGTTGCAACTAGAACGGATTGATCCTCTAAACTTCTTTGAACCTGCAAAATATTGAAAGAAGAAACCTTAGAATGCTAAAGACTTGTCAAATTCAAGAAGCATTTCTTAGGGCCAAGCTGTCACTTTGCTTACAACCATTATACCTTTAGTACATGTTTGATACACAATGTTGGGCTCGACAAGACAATATTAGATAATATTATAATATTGGATGGTTTGAGAAAAACATAAACAAAAAATTTATTTATTTTACTAGTAAAGTCGTTATATGTACCAAACACGTCCTTAATGAAAATCAATACACAATATGTATTCAAGTTATTACAAAAAGATGTCTCGAGATGAGATGTTCTCTATGGATGATTTTGAAGTTGAGAAAAAAATTTAGTACATTTTTGCCAAAAAAAAGGGGGCTTATGATACAAATGCCATATGATATTTAACTCATATTTGGCCTTCATATTTTAAAACTTATTTTTCACCAAATTTATTTTCAATCACATATTTTATAAGATCCACAAATTTTATCAATTTTTCAACTATACATTTGTCTGGGAGCGATTTTTTATCAAAAATTTAGCGATTTTTTAGCCATTATACGGGGTATTGTTAGTGCAAGGGAGCCGCAGGTAGAATGACAAATGCGTCCTTTTACTCTTATTTCATTCTTCATTAGAAAAAAGAATTTCCAGTAAAATGTTTCACATTGCATCAATAATTACTACACAAATGGTAACCATTTACAATTCCAACATCAAAAATTGAATTAAAATCGAGGCAAAATCACGCCCAGACAAGAACTTTATCAACTTTTATCTAGACATACTAAAAATATAATTTTATGAAAACCAAGTAGGGACTAAGTTTCTAACTCGAGTCCTGTATCTAGAAACAATTACATGGGCCCGTTTGGTAGCCATGTTTTTCTCTCTTCTCTTCAACCACACATTCTTTATTAAAATAATATTAAACATAAATAAAAAACTTTTCCTTATTTTTCAACTACACATTTCCCATCAATTTACTATTTAAAAATGTATTTTTACATAAAAATGTCTCCCAAACACCCTCATAATATCATTTATTAACATGACTTATGTGATACTCAATCCGTCGATTTCCGTGAAATTATTTCATAAAAGTTCGTCGCTATCTTTCTTCTATAACACAAATCTAGTTACTACTAAGGCCCCGTTTGGTACACATTAATGTAAAAATGAGAATGAAAAATATAGTCGTTACAGGCCCACACAAGAGATAGAAAGTCAAATATGATGATTTGATGTGATAGATAACGATCATATTTTTTATTTTAATGGGCAAATAATGGAACCAAATGGAGGATAATAAAATGGCAACTAATAGTTAACACAGGCTTTATTGTGGCTTACCTTCTTTTTGACTGGACAGGTAGGAGCATAAGAACACTTGAAATAAGCTCTTGGACAAGGGTTGTCTCTAGTCACCTTCTGTCCATATTTCCTCCATTGATATCCATCCTTAACAATCTGCGGTTTTAATATACAATAATTCATCAAGAAACCACCATTCCAAAGTCCGTTTCCTCATGAACAACTTAAAATTTTAGACGAGATGATTCAACACGATCAGTGTCAACTTACAAGGCTTGTATCAGATGCTTGTGTTTGAACGAAAACCCGCGAAATCTTTGCTTTGATGTGTTCTTCCTTTAGTTTCTTGCATGATTCTTCATCGCTAGAGCTGCTCTCAGAAGCTGAGCCATTGATTTCAGTTTTCCTTTTTCTCGATGCTGCAGTATTATCCATTGATGGATTGTTGATTTTATACTCGATTAATCTGTTTTCCAATTCATTGTAATTTTCACACACTACCGTTATCATTTCTGTGAGCCTCTTGTTTTCCGCACTAACACGGTTTAGTTCATCTATCAAAGCACTTCTCTGTTAAAAACATGAAAAGAAAATATTCAATATCCATCAAGAAAATCTGTTAAAAGACTGGTTGATTAAATATCAAACCCGAGTAGGAGAGTATAGAGAATCGAAGATAAGTAGAAGATGACTAACACTCCAAAGCTCGTAAATTCAACTCCGAACATGGAGAAAAAACATCAAAATAATCACTCACCTCATCTGGAAATCTTAAAGGTGTGACATTAAGATCCAATGAAGTATTTAGCAGAGTGTTGAATTCCATATGAAGTTCCAAAAAGATTGTTATTCAGAAAATGTTCTTAATCTGGTCAAGTTTTTCAGTGTTTATATACAATGTTTGCAGCACAAGAAGAATAAAAATATATATTCAAGAAGCAGATATACAACTTTTAGGAAGGTAACGAGAAGATGAAGAAAAGTGATAAAGTAATGGCTTTGAGACTTATTTATAGCAATTGGACCAGTATACTGGGATCTGGCATGAAAAGTAATGTAGGGTTTTATTACAGTGAATAATATAAAGAAGTTTATCGAGGCAAAGAAATATATTTTGATGAACTTTATAATTAGAGAATAGATACAACCTCAATAGAATAAACTATACGAGAAAGATCAATATTGATACACCTACTGAACGAAAATGAATGGGTAATGAACAAATTTAAATAAGAACCGTGCTACAATGCCAGAAGGGCCGACAGACGGGTTGACAGAAGAGACACAGCTACAGGGGTCAGCATTTTTTTATTCATGGCAAGACCCACAGCAGCTGGGAGAGGGGGTCATTTTTTCTAGCAGTTCGGCATTACCCTTTAAATAAAAACTACATTGGCTCGAAAAATATGTGTTGTTATATCAAATTGCATTAGTAAGTCGAATTAGATAAGATCGAAATAATTATATATAGTTTTTTACCGATGATACTTGGCACGAAATGTCAACCAGCGTAAATTGTATATCCTAGTGAATTCTTATATTTCGAAAATTTAGTCCAAGGGTCGTCGATTTATGAGAGACTCGAGATATTATGCGTTACGCAACTCTGTCGGGAAATTATCGAAGTGAACTTCAATTCTCAAGGCAAGCAAATAGGCGATGTGCTTATCTTTCTTGTATATAATCTGTTTAAATCATGCAGAGTACGAAATATAAAATATAAACATAAATAAGAAGTTAAAAAGAAAAAGAAAAAGAGTAATGGGATGTTGAAATTGTTGCAAGTAGTCAAAGTCAAGCCCGCCTTTAGAAAGGAAAAGAAGAGAAAAGTAGATACATGTGTGTACTAGCCTTTGCTTTCATTACACGTTTACGCCCATTTTCCACGTTGTCTCTGTTTTATTCATTATAATTCATTATAGAGTTGAACAACTTATTCTATATTATGACTTAGCAATTTTTTTCAAAATGTATTTTTCTCTCTTTTTTTCAATCATACATTCTTTATTAAAATAATATTACACATAAATTAAAATATTTTTTTAATTTTTCAACTACATATTCTTTATTAAAATAATTTTACACGTAAATCAAAAAAAATTTCTTATTTTTCAATTACACATTTCACATCAATTTTCTATTTTAAAATACATTTTTACATAAAAATGACTATCAAACACCCTATATATATATATATATATATCCAGTGAGATACTATCCAAATTCTGCTCTATTTCCAATTATTCAGGCTTTGTTTGAGCCATATTATTTGAAAAAAAAAATATATTTTTCAACAATGATTTGACATTATTTCAATCACATATTCTTTAATAAAATAATATTACATGTAAATCCAAAACATTTCATTTTTTAAACCACACATTTTCCATAAATATACTATTCAAAAATCATTTTCATTCCAATAATATGTCTCAAACAAGGCCTCAATATGGTGCTTGAAGACATATAAATAAAGAGGAAAGTGCTACATGTACATAATTGTCTACATAATGGTGTTCATAATTATACGTGACACTTAATCCAACTTTTAATTCAAATCTCATACTTGCATATCAACAATCGGATGATTGTCACATCACATTATGAATATCATTATGTGTAATAATTATGTACAAGTAGAATTTTTTAAACAAACAAATAAACTATTAAGCTTCGTTATTTATTATCGATATGACATATTAATTAATTTATTAGAGAAGTGACTAGTTTTGATTAATTTTCTGTTTTTAAAAAAAGTTAAAACTAAATTGTCTGATTATGAAAATGATTTTTGTCATATATAGAACCTGAATTAAGACTTTTGGTGATATGAACTAGTGTATATTCAAAAGTCGGAATTGTAGGGTTGATTCAAGTACACAATCAAGTGCCAGTGTCTTATCAGTGAAGAATTGACGCGAAAGGAGCACGCTTTCAATTGAATCGAATTCTAGATATGGAAGTTTTGTCCACGTACTAACACTGTGGACACGCTTTTGGGTAGTTAGTCACGACGGCATCATACGCGTTTTTATTTGAATTGAGTTCTATCAATGAAATATTTATGCCCCGTTTGGTAGCCATTTTTTTCAAAATATATTTTTCTCTCTCTTTTTTTCAACCACACATTTTTATTAAAATAATATTAAACATAAATAAAAAATATTTTTTATTTCTTAACCACACATTTCACATCAATTTACTATTCTAAAATGCATTTTATATAAAAATGCATATCAAACACCCCCTTAACATCATTAATGTCATACGATAATCTATGTGATAACTGCATAACATTAAATGCTAATCACGTGATTCATTTAATGAATCTATCAATTGTGATCATCGAAACTAATATTCTAACACCATTGATATTATATTGATATACTTAGTTGAAGTGTTCTAAATGGTATGTATGGGTAGCATCTAAGCGTGAGGCATGGCAAAAACACCACCTTTAGGACCTATGTGCTGTTTAGACGATCAACAAAAGCGTTGACCGCTTTAACCGCTTAAGCATGCATTATTATTATTATTATTTAAATTTTTTTTTTTTCAATTCTTAAAAGGCTCGTTTACCCTACTCTACATAAAGTTTTCAACTTTTAGGCCAATTGGATTAAAAGGTCAAAAAATTAATAATTATAATTTTTTTTTTCAAATTTTAGGCCAATACATTGAAAGGCACAAAATGTTTCTTACCCACTTATTGATTCATTAATTTTTAAAGGGCATCTCCAAATATTTTGTTGTAAACTTTCGATATTGAATAAGAATCCCTTTAATTTAGATATTATTGGCTATAATGTAGTGTATTTGGTTTGAGTGTAGTGCATTTTACTATTGGATAAATAATTAAATATATATTTTATTAAGTTCGTTAATCATTTTCTTATCTTTTATTAATTAATAAAAATTAAAAACTTTCCAAATATTTCAATTAGCGTTATTATGAGCCTGTTTGAGCCCCCCCCCCCTTTTTTGTCAAAAATACATTTTGAAATAATGATTTGATTGAGAATACATTGTTAAAAAATAATGAAAATATATAAATTTGCATGTAATATTATCTTATTGAGGAATACGTGGTTGAACATAAGAAAGGAAAATGTATTTTGAAAGTAATAAAGACCAAACAAAGGTTATGACATATCTTGTTTATTATTCGAAAATATATTTATTTTGTTAAACTCTAAAAACTGCCTTTGGTAATATAACTTGTATATTAAACGATTTTTAAATTGGTTAAAAATTTAAAATGAGAAAATATTTTTCTACGCCTAAGCCTCACCTAGGCGCACATCGATCGAAGTTTGACGTCCACGTATCGTCACGCATTATGTTTTTTAAAACACTACTTATTTGGAGAAAAATTTCAATGGTACGATTGCATGGTGCGGTCGTTAAATGAGGAACCACCACCTCATCCGGTGGCTCCTCCTCACCCAATGAGGTTAGGCAAACTCAAGGCTTAATTTTTTCTCCTTTTTCACCTCAAATCTCGAGGTGGCCTCACCCCATTGGATGAGGGTGGGACATCCGATGTTGTGATAGCTCTCCATTCAAAGGTCGCCTCATCCTAAAAGATCACACCACGTAGAATGGTGAGATAATCTCATCGATGTTTTTCTCGCTTATTTAAAGTCATGAACTCAACAATTATATCGTAACATGGAAATACACATACAAGGTTCAAACGAGAAATGAAATGGCTGAATCAATGAACAGCTAAGAAAAGAAAACAAATCCATGACGTGATCTATGCACTTCTACAATCTGGAAACATTTGACAACGTGGCTGTGACTCCATTGTGATGATCATTGCTCTAGAAAAATAACGTTATTCATGTTTATTAGGCAAAGATCCATTCTTTTATGACTTCCATAAGAAATGGAGGTGCTCGAACTCTTACCATTTAATGATATCCGTGTATTAATTAATAATGAGGAAATTGCAATGGATGTCAATTTTTTTCAAGACATTTACAAAAATGTCACCATTTTTTTTTATTTTTTACATTGCAAGAATATCAATTTAAGATATATTTGCTCTTTAAGATAATTTTAAATTCCCCACATGTCCTAATTAAATGAGATTTGACCTAATGGAAGAAATTGTACAAAAATCTTGTCAATGTTAGAGATGAAAAGTTGGAAAAAAAAAGATATAAATATTATTTCTCTCATTCAAACAACCCCCATTCAAACAATCATAACTCTCTCACTCTCTCTTATTTCTCTCATTACGGGCTTCAATCTTAGAGATAAAAATCGTGTTTTTTTTTACTCAATTTTTGTAATATTTTTCAACTGTAAAAGGGTTTATGAGATGCGAAAAAATGGAGCTTTTTTTGTTTAAAATAAGAGCTTGAACTTGGATTGGAAAGAAGTAAAAATCCTTTTAATATTCTGTAATTTTTTTGGACGTTTTGAATAATTTCTGGCTATGTTATGATTGGAAATATTTTTCCCCTACTTTCTGCAATTTCATATCATAAATTTTAATTTTCTCTTTTATATACATTTCCTATTAGTGATGCATATATGCATACGTTACATGTGCTAACACTAATGTTGAGGGAAAAAAATATCTAGGGTTCCAGTTTAATATTTATCATTTTCCATTGTTTTCAAAGTTCAGATTTCAAGCATTTTGAATATTTCAATGTTGGGTGTAATTCTAGATTGACACTTGACATATCTTTCATTTTAATGTTTTTGGTACTTTTGAGATGTGGAATTAACAGTGCTATCACTTGGAATCTATTTGCTTTGGGCGATGCTCGTATTTGGGTTGAACTCTTGCTAGACAGTTGATAGCATGTCTGTGGTTTTAATGTTTCGTCATGTTCGAATATGGAGTGAAATAATTTTCAATAATACCTATTTGCTTAGAGGTAAAAAGTAGATTTCCCGATAGTTCATCTGTCAACAGTTCACTAATGTAAAGAAATGTCATCGCGCCTAACTGTCGTTCCAACAGTTAGCCTCAGTAATTCTCGACAGATAAACTGTCGAGAACGACAATTCGGTCCTTCCCTCCGCTCAGTTCCACAAGTCAAACTTTGGTTCATCCTAACATTGCACAAGTGTTTTGCATGAACATATATGAAATGCTATGATCTCACGATTTTTTGATTGATTTGTCTGTATGTGGTTAGATTTTTTCCATTCAAACGTCTCACTTGTGACTTATTTGTCCATATGTAGTTATATTTTTGTGCTTCACGTTTTTATTTGTATAACGATGCTACCACCGTCACGATTCATTCTTTATAATTTTCGGATCACGTGCAATTCAAATATATTTTTGTGAAAGTTGCTTGTTTGGAAAATATGGATGAATTCAGATTACGATAGATTGCATGAATCAATTTAGTTATATTATGTGCTGTGATCGGATTGTTTTTGTACACAAGGTGAATGTTATTGCATTTCTTCACCTTGCTTTCTACGTGCTTTATCTCGGAATATTAATTTTACTAATGTATGATGACATATAAGCAGATTCATACTCATGACCTGAATGAATCCTCAAAGTGTTGGTGCACACATTCCTGTTGTAATTGGAGGTGGAACCAATCGATTTCATTGTCAAAGAAATAGCAACTTTCACAACGGTCTACTTCTGATGACTGTGGTAACTGCACGGAAGAACATTTTTTTTTCTATTTATGTATATAATTTTGCGTTCGTTAGTTCCATTTATGTGATATTGACAGAGGATACTGTTTGTTTAAATCCCTTGTTTCACTCCGATAGTATTATGAGTTGGTTATTAGTTCATACTATGGGGCTAGTCTTTCGTATAGAAAATGTTTATAGTAAGGAATAGTAGATAATAATGAGTAGTAAATTGTTTTTTAAATAGGGTCATGGAGTTAATACACGGTACAAAACAATGGTCACATCATGTTCAGTACTTGAGCAAGATCGTGTACATAAACATGATTTTTGGTGCGTTTTATAGCTTTCTTGCTTATGGAATTTGTTCGATTTATCGATTAAAACTGGTATCCAATTGAAAATAAGCATAATTGAAATGAATATTATAATTTGTTTCAATCGAAAACATTCGTGAATCACGGTAATATCATTGGACATCATTTTCTTACAAAAAATAACGAGAACTTCTTTGTTTGCATTAAAATGTTGTGCGTACCATGCTTCAATCAAGAAGAAATGGTACACGTGATTTAATGTATACAATTTTCATAAATGATAGATCAAGTGTGGGTAATACAAGCACACTTAGACTTTAAAAACATCACACTAATTGTCTTTCAAATTCAATTTGAGATGTGATGAAAATAAGTCTTCATCGTCGCGTATTTCGGCCAGAGGTATATTCAAGTTAAAGACCTTGAACTTCAATTCAATTTGAGTGCAGGGATCAAGAATATCAAGTTTGTCCTTCAACATTAACAAAAGTCCGACTACGGTATTAGTTGTCAAAACCAAAATGGAAGTAATTTTGTCCACTCTCTACTTCTATTTGTCATCCATATGAACAAACTTTTCCTCATGCGACAGATGAATCTCAAATGATTACTCATACCTGAAATGTTGAGATTGCAACGATAAAAATTCTGCAGGATCAATACGTCGACATTTAATGGCATGAAAGTGGTACTACATAATGCGTAAATCTGTACCATAGCAAAATGTCAAATCAAGACTTTCCATCGTTTTTAAGTGTTTGATTTGACAGTAAAATTGTATGTCCCAACAATTTGTAAATGTCGGGTTCGACAGTTGAACTTTCAAAAATGTCGAGAAGTAGACGACAATGGGGGGAACAGATTCTTCAACACAGCACATCAAGCGTGGTAATTCGTGATAATCTAAATGAAAAATGTCAGATTGACCTTGTCATTGAAGAGACATTTAATGAAAATATTATTTGGTTTGAATATAAGAAAGTACTCAAAACCTTAATAGTGATAATCACATTTGTGAATGATTCAAAAATAAAGAAATCAATTAATAATAGTTTCAAAAATTTCAAATAAATATGACTAGGTTATAATTAACATCTACAAAACAATAAACTGTAAAAGTAAAATATAAATAATTTCCAATAGTTAACCTCTCAAAATAGATTATGAATTCAAGAGAAAAATCTTCTTGATCAACGAAAATGAAGAAGATGAGAAAAATTAGGATTTGTAAGGAAAGAAGAAAATATATTTGTTTATGTTTCATTTTTTTCTTTTACCATTTTTTATTAACACAAATTCATATTAATCAATATAAAACACATTTATCCATATTTTTTATATATAAAATAAATCATCACATCAACATCAAATCAAGCATTAAATGCTAATAAAAATATGTCATTAAGGGTAATTTGGACATTTCATATAATAAAAGTGACATTTTTGCTTACATAAAGTGAAAATGACATCTTTTTGGAACCTTGTTAATTTTGTGACATTTTTGAAAATTCCCCTTAATTAATTAGGTTCCTCTACATCGTGTGATAGGTCCTCTCGAGCTAAATCAATAGGTGAATGTGGATTTTAAATAAGATGTGGCACTTATACGTCAGATCCTATGTAACGATCCAAGTTTCTGTACTCAATCCGTTAACTTACGTACTGTCCGCTTTGGATGGACCTTGCGGGATAATTGGTATCAGGATTTAACTTAAGTTTTACTTAAGGGAAATGTTATGAGTTCGTATCTTGGGGGACGCGATAGAAAGCCGTGAAAGGTAAATGGGCGTAAGATCCACCCAAAGCGGACAGTACGTAAACTAACGGTTTGGGCACAGAAACTCAGGTCGTTACATTCTACCCCTGGAGCTTAGACTTGGGTTCTCTCTACTGCACCATCTATGTTCAATTTGTGAAAAACGCATGGGCATGGCCTGCACCTTTTCACTAACGCAAGAGCTTTCCTTGAAGATGGGAGATAGGGATGCTTAAAGGAATTCGAACCAACATAATCATATCAGAAACAAGTCATTTTCATTCGATTCGATTTGATTCTCCTTAAATTTCAAACGCTTGTTTCATTGACCTTATTTTTCATGAAAAATATTATTATCCCATTCAAATTTATATTTTTGAGTGTTTGATTGATATTTTTTTCATGAAGAATATTTTATAACTTTTAATTATATGACCATATTTTCTTTAAAAACAAGAATTTTTTTTTTCCAAATAATTCACTTTCTCTTTCTTCCTCATCTATCCGCATTCTCTTATCTACCTATCAATGAAAATGGACAAGTATAATATTTTCTAAATTAAAAACTAAATTAATCAAACAAGTTTAATTAATAATTTTCATACAAATAAGTTCTAGACAATTGAAATGCCTAAATTTTTTTTCCATCCAAATTTCTTGCTTGTAATCGAACGCACCCTTATAATTCTTAGAACATTTGATTGTCAATATTTTTCCATAGAAAATATATTTTTTCCATCAAAATTCTTACTTTTGAAGGGTTTGATTGACATTTTTTCCATGAAAAATATTTTCATATTTTTGGTTTCGTGATTATATTTTCCTAAAAATCAAAGAAAATATTTTATTTAGAAGAAGTAGGATTTTATTTTTCAGAGAATTCATTCTCTCTTTCCCTCTCGTCTACCCACCAATAAAAATCGGACAAATATAATATTTTTTATGTTGAAAATTAAATCAATTGACAATTACCATACAAATAAGTTAATTGAATTACCTAAAATTTATTTTTCTTTCTATGCAAAATTAATACTTACAATCAAACGCATCCTAATTTTAATCAAACTAGTTTTTTTTTTTTTTTTTTCTAAAACTATAGTTATTATTATTATTATTTTTTTGGGTGAATAATTCTATTAGACTATCTATTGTATGGAGATAACTTGTCGTTTGCATTGAATGAGACCTAGGACTTGTTTAGTTCCCATTTTTCTCATAATATTTTTTTTCTTTCTCTTATTTTTATTTTTTAACCACACATTATTCAATAAAATCATATTACATGCAAATTCAAAAATTTTCCTTATTTTTTAACAACAACATATTTTCTATCAAAAAACTATTCCATTGTACGTTATTTCCAAAAAATAGGGCTCAAACATGCTTTTAGTCACGCCAGATTAGAATTGGTAGGAATTTAGCAACTGATTTGAAATGAAATAAAATAAAACTTAAGGACCAGCTTGGAAATTTTCTACAACATTAAGGATCAAAATTTATTCCCTCATCTTTGCAGTCTCGTTGCTTTGTTGACCGGTTGAGAACAGGTCGTGGACATCGTCCACGCCAAGTTATCCAATAAAAACAATCCATGTCATCATATCTCCACGTGGCACATAATGATTCGTTCTCAACGTTGTACACACGTGGCATTCTCGAACACTACGCACTCCGTTCATTAATCTCAAACTCAAATCTAAACTAACAAAAAATTTCGGACTCCAATTGCTATCGGATCCTCTATCGGAGCTCTTGCACCGTGTTAAGATTCCAATCGTGGCTTCCTCCGGCCAACAATCAAACGTTCTCACCCGTAGAAAATCAGCACCACCGGCCGCCTTCGCCTCCGCCCAGAAATCGGGTTCTACCCGAATAGTCTACAAGGAGTCCGGACGCTCGTCTTCCCGTTCTGATCTGAGCTCACCATTTTGGCAGAGTACTTGGTTTATATTGATATTGCTGGCAATGGCAGTCTCATTTTTCGCACTCGCAATTTACCTTTTCCTCACGCTGGACTCTGATTACTCATCCACTCCTGTTTCTGCTGCTTCTGAAGGCGTTCAGGTAAATGATTATGTAATATTATATCAGAGAGCTAGAGATGGATTAATTTGTATATATAGGTGAGCAGATTTTTTTGGACGGAGATCGGTCGGCTTGATTTGGACTTTGGAATGCTCATTTCGAATTTGAATTGGCTGTTGGGAATTTTGGTTCAGATGCCTTAGTTTCATGTCACCAAATGTAAAGGAAATATTTACTGCGTGACATAAATTTGATGCTGTTTATTGATGAGTTTTGCGAAGTGAAAAATGGGGAGAATCATTAAATTTTTTTTTTTTTATTCTAGAATCTGCCTATCCTGGATTGATTTGATCATTAGGTTTGTCTAAAAGTTTACCGGATAGGATTAATGAACAATAATTAGTAAAAAGGCTGTCCTTTACTGTGCACTAAACATCCCTTTTCGGTTTTGTTCTAGCTCATATGTAAAAATTTCTAGTTTAAATTTAAATAGTAACTCAGTAAGCTATGCTAGGTGGCTAGGAAGTACTTATTGATAAATGTTTCAGAATTGAATATGATTTGTCTTTCATCATTTGAACTTAAGGTTGAGAGTGCCACTTAAACTCCATGAAAAATGGGTCTGCTTCTGTCTCTCTCATAGTTATTGTAAATGGTTTTGTAGATTACATATGGATCGGCAATCAAACTGATGCATGAGCGAACAAAATTCCGGCTACATTCACATGATGTGCCGTATGGCTCTGGGAGCGGCCAACAGTCGGTTACTGGTTTCCCTAATGTTGATGACTCTAACAGTTACTGGGTATTTTAAAGCCACACTTTGTATTTTTTTCCTTTAAAATACTTGACAAGGTAAAAAAATGTACAAGTGCAGTAGTCTGAAGTTTTTAATTAAAATTATTGCTTGATTTGGTAGATTGTTAGGCCAATACCAGACTCATCTGCAAAACAAGGAGATGCAATTAAAAGTGGAACTGTAATTAGGCTGCAACACATGAGGACCAGGAGATGGCTGCATAGCCACTTGCATGCATCCCCAATATCTGGCAACCTCGAGGTTAGTATGCTTGTTTTTCATCGGGACCCTTAGTGTCATCCTTGTGTCCCATATTGAAAAATCAATTGGCACTATTATCATACATGAAATTGTTAACGAAAATATTTACCAAAACTTTAGTGATTTTTTTCTTTCAATATCTTGATCTCAATCCAATATCTCTGAAATATGCATAAGGAAAGTGTACCTCTCTGTGTTTTTGACTAGCGAACTTGCATTGATTTCTTTTGTTTCAACCTCATATCCTGAATCTATACTTCTGCAATATGTGATTCTTTTTTGGTTTCAATATTGTACCCATACTCTGCAACATTGTTTTTGGGTGCATAATCTTGTGCAAGTTCTTAAAAGCTTTTGTCAGTAGCTTCTATGTCAGTCCAGCAACAGACAAATTTACTAGTCATAATTGTAATGCAAATTGTAGCTTTTAGAAGGAGAAGGATCTATGTTGTTAGAGGTGCGTTTGACTTAGCTTTTATTTCCCATGGATCTCTATGATTACTAATGACTCAGTGAAGTAGTAGAATGCTAAACAAATAGACATGGCTTGATGTTATAGTGCATAATCTTGTGCAAGTTCTTAAAACCTTTTGTCAGTAGCTTCTACTTCAGTCCAGCAACAGAAAAATTTACAAGTCATAATTGTAATGCAAATTGTAGCTTTTAGAAGGAGAAGGATCTATGTTGTTAGAGGTGATGTTTGCCTTAGCTTTTATTTCCCATGGATCTCTATGATTACTAATGACTCAGTGAAGTAGTAGAATGCTAAACAAATAGACATGGCTTGATGTTATAGTGATATCATATTTCTTTTCCCCTGTGGAAATGCAGTGGTGTATTTTGGCTAGCTTTGGAAATTTTTAATAATTTCATGTTTTCTCATGGCTATTTATTATACTTTCTGCCAACAAAAGCCCAGAATATTCAAGAAAAAGCAATAAACTGGTAATACATAGATTTTGAGGATTGATGTCACCATCATTTCTACTTTCCTCTGTAGCACAGACACCTAGTGTAAGAGTCACCTAGGGTAAGAGTGTCTGTGTCCGACACTTCTCGGACACCCTGCCATGGATTTTTTTTCTTTATCAGAAGATTGTATATTTTTAGCTCAAAAGTTATTATTAAATAATAAATAGGTACTCATAGAAAAATTAATAACAAGAACAAAATTAAATTTATACTGTATAAATAAATTTTTTTAAAGAATTTAATCAACGTATCGACGATGTGTCGTATTAGTATTTTTTTGAAAAATTGCGTGTTGACGTGTTGGACACTTGTATCCGTGTCGGTGCTTCATAGCTGTTGTCAATAGCGAAATAGACTATTTTCATCGTACAGACTTTACACACACACACATTTTGATCCATAAGAGTGATGAAGTGTGTGCTAAAAGTCAATGTTTTCAGACAAGAAAAAGAAAACCTTGCTAAATTTTGTGCATTTCAAATATGGGACTCCTGGTCATTGCTTCAACAGATGAAATGACTACTTTTTCAAAGCGTTTTGCTTTATTTATTAGAAAAAAATATATAGAAAAGAAAAATCTTCTGATGCCAGTTCCACGTGTGTTAGCATATTAAACGGCATGCGTTTATGGCTTTGTGCCATTCTGTTGGACATGCGCGATAGGCACGAGGGAAAATTTATATATAAGCGGTGATTGCTTTATCGTTATCGCAGATTCGTCATTGAGAACAAGTTTTTGTGCATCTTTGCATCTTTTGCTACTAAAGTGATTTGAAATTTTGATGCAATGCCTTCATGACTTAAATTAATTAGAATCTTATAAATTTTATGTATAGATCAGTTGCTTTGGAGATGACGGTAGCTCTGACACTGGTGATTATTGGAGGTGAGACCTTCATCCCATACCTTCTTAGCATGTTTGATCGGAGGATTGAGAGCAGTGAACAGAACCAAGAAAGAACCTTCCAATTTTATGCATACTGCATTCTGAACATGCACGTGAAGTTTATGTATTTCACGTGATATTTATTTCTTTTATGCAAATTTGTACTTCAGACTAGAGATTGAGGGAAATGGAAAGACTTGGAGGCAAGACCAAAGGGTGAGACTAAATCACGTAGACACCGGTGGATACCTGCACAGTCATGACAAGAAATACACCCGTATAGCTGGTGGACAGCAAGAGGTAGGATCAAAACGATGTCATTATAGAATTCAATAACACCATGCCAATTTTCATTATGTAAAGATTGATGAATGATGGAATAGGGCTTCTTCCAACATCCTTAATTACTCCCTTGCATACATTGCAGGTTTGTGGTGTTCGGGAAAAGCGTGCTGATAATGTTTGGTTGGCAGCAGAGGGTGTGTATCTCCCTGTTTCTGGAAGCAAATGAAGATCAACACCTGGATATCACAACTAGCAACTTGAAGTTTCCCCAAATCTTGCCTACTCCCACTGGCATTAGCATGTATCTGATTTCTTAGTTCCTCTATGAATGAGGATAGTCAATGCAGTTTTGGACATTATCACATGGAACATCGAAACTTTTGTACCTGGATAAATAACTGTTGGCATCTAGAATTGCTGCAATTTTAATGCAAAATTTACGCATGGGATTCATGCTAATATTTGTCTCTGAATAGTTAGCGCAATTAACAAAAGAATAATGTTATTTGCAATCACTTACTGTCACAATCGTCTTACGTGTTATATATGTGACTGTTAGTGATTTGATCTATGAGGCAAAAAAAACTATCACATTAATAGGTCAATCACAAATCGCTATGTAGGATGTTATGTAGAGCAACTACCGCAACGAGCGATTATGAATAGCACTCTTAACAAAAAATTGGTATGGTTATATGTATTGTATAGGGGTCAGGTACGTAAATGCATAATACCAATGCAGAATATTGTCTCCAAGGAAGAAGCCGTTTTTGGTGCTGTACATGTACAGCCTCTTCACTGTGCCGTGAGGCCCATGCCATTTTTTAATGACGCGGCCACCTCGTTATGAGGGGGCTGTAAGCCGTGTTGTGTGTCGGCTCGTCTTCAATAGGATGATTTCAATCTAGTAGTTTTATAAAAAAAAATAATAATTATGATTATTTCCATCAACAAAATTACTGCACCGTGACCGTGATACCTTACAATAGACACGTTTTTGCAATTATCTATAATTGTATCAAAAAGACTACTCATAGGTTGGTTAAATTTATTATATTAATAATTTCTTTCGTATCCATTACCAATTTTACATTAATATTGGCTTTTTACCTCCCTTAATTTAGATTCCTTGAAAGCAAAGGCGTGAAATAGGTAACATGTAAAACAGTGTACGGTAATTCGACACAGTTTAAGGAGGTATAACGCAAGCATGGAAAAAATAAAATTAATGGACTATTCCTATTGAAAGCACTAGTAAAAATTAACATGCGATCATAAAAGCTAAAATATTCCTAATTGGAGGGGTCGTAAGATGCTTTGCTGCATCGTCTCTAACTGGGGAGGACATTCAGACAGTTCATTATGCTAAGTAGGGATGCTTAACCTCCGTCAGCAACAGAAATGAGAAACTCCCTCTTTTATTTTATTTATTTTTTTTTTTTTGGGTATGAAACTCAGTATTTGTATATTTGAACCACAATTAAATAGTGATAAGGATGTCAAACGAGCCGAACGGCTTGTCGGCTCGTCAAAACCCGGCTCCGAGAGCAGGGGCTCAATCCCATTTGACGAGCACGAGCTGAGCAGGGACTCATCGAGCCCACGGGCGGCTCGAGCCGAGCTCGTTGGCTCGTCAAAAAATATGAATTTTTTCAAAAATAAAAAAAAGGTCCAACGTGTAAATTTACCCCAAAAAAAATTAAAAAAATCACCTGCTCGCGAGTGACTCGTGGGCTCACCTCGGCTCGGCCCGTGAGCTCATGGCTCATGGGGCCGAGCCGAGCTCAACTCGTCTTTCACGAGCTACGAACCTGAGCCAAGCTGTGGGTTAAAGGACCGAACGATTGCCATCACTAAATAGTGAGCTCCAATTATTTATTTGATATAACAGTAACAAGGAGTACAGAATCCACAACGCTCCTAGAGTACTTAAAATTTTTCCTGACGTGACCCAAATTTTGTAGTGTAGAAGACTTCACAAAGGATGAAATTTTGGAACAAAACGAGTTGAATGACAAAAATGAAACAAGGTCATAACTTAAGTGACCAATTCAACTTTTAATACTGATTTTCTCAAAAATTTTAACAAACATATATCAATTTACTATAATAAAAAATGTGCAAGCAAAATTAATATTGATATATTGTAAAAAAATAAATAAATAAATAAATAAACACTAGTTGACCAAATTGATCATTCCCTATCTTTGTCACAAACAAAATGACCAATTTAAAACATAATATGAAGTAGAAAACCTTTTTTAAAAATAAGTGAAGATTCATCAACAGTCATTTTCCAAATAACACTGAACAGGCAGTGGTCTTAGGAATCCACTACCAGGACAAGAGTAACTAATAGCAAATCTCGAACAACAAAAATCTTGTTAACATAAATACTAAATCAAAATTTCCAAATGGAATGGCATTGAAAGCAAACTAGAAGTAACTTAAGACGATTTCAAATCTCATCACGAGCATACTTCTTGCCGGTAGTCCTTCAGTGAGACTTCACGTACTCCTGAACAATGTGGAGACCTTCAGTTTCTTCTCCATAATCCTGCAAAAAGGAATTTAAGAATGCTACAATGAGAAACAGATATCAGACCAATTGATAACCACAAATATCATATCTTTGGTTATACTACCTTCACGACAACACACGAAGCACCCACAACCTTCCTTGCTTTCCCTTCTGAATCAATCTTGCACAACTACAAAACACCATTTAACACTAAAGTCAAACAATAGCTTATTTATCTTTTACTCAACAGGTAGACAACTGGCTCAAGAAGATAGTCCGTCATAACCATTGTCATAATTCGCAGCCATATAACTGACTGACGATTTCTAACGAGTTGGGTTTCAAGCAAATTGCAATTCAAACAGTATACCATATCACGAAAAAAGCCAAGAACTATGGAAGATGTTTACGTACACCAGCCCATTCGCCAAGAGTCTTCGCACTTGGAACAGTAATGAGGTTTACATTGTGGTCGGCACAGAGTGCTTTAACCAATTTGACATAGTCGGGTTGATCGCAGTCCTCTGCCAACACACACAGCTGTGCTACATGCTTCTCAATCACCTTAGCACTTTCGTGAAGGCCTCGGATGAGCCCTCCATGAGCCAATGACTTCCTCAGCACAAGCTGCAAGGCAGTCATGATGTCCATTGGCTCACCAAGAGCAGGTGCAGCGGGTGTCTCGACAACAACAGCCTCTTCACTGCAAAGCAACAAATTGAGAAAATCGGTCAACTGTTAGCACACCCAAGATTGCTACCTCCCCAAGGAGACGAATCTCCTACTTAAGAAGTCAGATTTACATACCCAGACATTTTTTCCTTCTCTTGTCGGGACTTAAGACTTAAAGAGTCTTTTAATATAGATCTGCCATATGATAATAGATAAACAAGCTATCAAATACAGAAATAACAGTAATTTGGTTACTGAATCCAAATGAAATACAAAATGTTTATCGCTTAAATCACAATATGCGGACACAGAGACGAACATCTAAGTATATCAAAATTAATCATGCCGTAAAGAGTACAGGAAACAGAAAAACAATTACAATCTGATAAAAATATGAAATAATTCCAATTCCAATTCCAATTCAAATCAAAATATATTTGATATTTCATTCAAAATTTATATTGAAAAACTAATAATTAAAACATTTTAAGTAGAAAAGAGAATTATTACCTGCGACAAGAGGGTTTACAGAGGTGGAGCAAATGAAGATGTGGAAACTGAACCTAGTTGGGGACTATATTTACAGAACACCTAAACCCTAGCCGCATGAAAAACTCTATATTGGATCATTCAAGCCCATCAAGGAGCCCAAATTTTGTTTGGGCCGGACACATATGGATGGAAAAAATAGGATATTTTGCACCTTTTGTCCTCAACCTTTTTAATATGTTCTTAAATCTACCCTCGACCTTTTTTTAATACTAGCCATCAGAATCTTTCATTTAATTCTAAATTGCGTACTTCCATTCTAAATTCTAAAATGATGAATTTGAGCATAGTCGTTCTCCAAAAGTTTATAAATTTTGTTTATTTTCTTTTTAATGCTCTTTCACACTTTAAAGAGTAGCTACCTTGCACAATGGCCCGAAACTCGAGAAAATAACTATAGTTCTAATGTAATAATAGAATTCAAAGCCTACAATGTGTTTTTTGGTGCTTGGCCAATAATCACTATTAAAAACACTTTCAGTACGTAGTATTGAACTCTACTATATAATATGAGATTATAAACTGTTTTTCTTCTTGTCCAATATTGTTGAATCAAATATCCCAAACACAACATATTCAAAAATATTTATTCAGTCGCAAATTGTCAAATATCTTTCCAAACTCAACAAAATATTTCATTACCATTTAATCCTCCTTGCCTGATCTATCTCTTGGAATGTTTATTTGTTCTAATATATTAACTATTCCCCTTCGTTACAGAAGATATGTATTTATTGCTGTAGAAGCGTTATCATCTCCTGAAGCTATGTTCTGCATTAGGCAGTTTCTCGTGTCCATTGACATCTCGGTTTGGCAGTTTAACCAAAGAATAAGCAGCTGCCCCGGCCAGAGCACCGAGGAAAGGCGCAGTGAGGTAAATCCATATGGCTTTATAGTTGTTTGCAGCTATTGCTGGCCCCAGAGTTCTCACGGGATTCATTGATGCTCCAGTTGTTTCCCTGGATGAATAGACAAGGTTTATGTTTCTATCAAGCTCTTTTCAGAGCATAGTTTTGTTCGAACGAATATAGCAAGTTTATAGGAGGAATTGTGCTGAAATTAAAGGAGAGTTAAGAGCATCACCCAGCTATCAGTATGTTGAGCATTACAGTAGCTCCAACCCCAATTCCTGCAAGCTTCCCTACCTGTTCAGAGAGGAAAAAATAGTTATTTATTTTAAGATATACTTATTTACTTATAAGCAAACATTTTAAGCTTGGCTAAACATGCTGAAGATTCCATATATACTATCAAAAAATTGTTCAATATATTCAACTGTTGTTGATTATTCCCACAACTAGTCAGTTTACTACTGCCTGCAATATTCATAAAATGTTTGTTGAAATCTGGACTTCTAGTTGCCAACTTCTACCATAAGAGCCTGTTTGGCACCCTTTAAAATTTATATTGTTTGCTACAGTATCATTCTCCACTACATATTCATACATTAAAATATTCTACACACAAACTAATAAAGTTTCTTTATTTTTTAACACACATTCTTCGAAAAATACTATTCAAAACTCCTTTATTTTCCAAATAATGGGTGACAAACAGGGCTAAAATCTAGTTTCTTACTTCCTGCAATGGACAAAAATTAATGGTTTAAAAATACAGCTAGTCACTCGACTTATCGTGAAGTTTTGTGCTAGTTATGCCAGAGGTCTCTATTATTCTCGTGGAAGCACTTATCTTGCAAACAAATGGATAAAAGGGTGTGCGAAATAGGGCATGCTTTTTGTATGTAAGATTGGATAATATAAAAGAAATAAAGTTCGCGAAAATTTGTCAATTGTGATTTCTAGTCAATGTGTAGAACTAGCTGAAAGCTGTAAAGCAAATGCTTACAGCTCTTGTATCTGTGGCCACTGCAGTAACTACAAACATGAGGTTGAAGCTAATGACGAACTCCAAAGCAAAAGCTTGAGCAAATCCCCCTGAAGGAACAGTTACTCCACCACCCATTATAGGGTGAAAAATAGCCTTCAGTAAGAATGCAGCACATGTTGATGCCAATATTTGTGCTCCAATATATACTGGAACCTGCCAAAATCAATAAACATTGACGGGATAGACTGGACAATATTAAGCAAGAAAAGAAAAAATTGTTTTGTTATTCACTACTGGTTGTAGAGTTGTTTTAAGAGTCATTTTACATGTTTCCATGGAAAATGCTTCAGAGCAGCAAAGGCAATGGTGACAGATGGATTGACATGTGCCCCGGAGATGTGACCCGTGGAGAGTATAACTATCATGACTGCCAGGCCGGTGGAGACTGCCAAGCCGAGAAGGGTCTCCGAGCCTTGTGTCTTTTGGTTCACAATCGCTGTGGCTGTGCCTGTGAAAATGAGTATGAAGGTACCTATAAACTCAGCTCCCACCTGGTTTAGACGTTGTTCAAGATATAAATGCATTATACATTAATGGCGGCAAGACTTGAACCAAGAACTTAGGTTTAACAAAATTGACTAGGTTGAGGGAAGAACTAGGTCACCTTTCTTGCAAGGGAGATTGGATGTGGAATCAATGCACAAGAGACAGAGGGTAAGGTCCCTTCTTCCAAAGAAAGTGCTTCAACACTAAAGCACTTGCAGCTCTTAAAAAGGGATTTCCGGCTATCGCCACACCTTTCCGGCTTGAACTGGCCATCGACAAGAGGAGTGCAGCACGGAATCCCGGGCGTTACAGACATTGTAGGAACTGATGCAACATCTTTAGTGCCCATTACTAGCTCACAAGAAAAGAAAGTGTTCTAATAGACTTATATAAATTGGTAAAAAGTGAGAAATTAAAGGTCACGCTTCTTTGTCCTAAATCTTTTTAAGGAAATTTATGAAGAAGGATGCTTAGAACTATTTCAAATAACCTTTAAATAATAAAATTGCATCAGTTATTTAGCCTATAAAGAAGGCACTTAAAAAGAATAATTAAAAGTTCGTGATCGAGATGGTTGAGGCTTCATAAATACGACTCTCCCTTACGAAGAAGACACAGTAGTCATTTACGAGCATCTTGTGCCATCAATTCGTGATTCTCTCTTCCTTTCTTTCAGTTTTTTTAATACTTCGACCACTAAAAATGTTCTATTAAAGAAAAATTAAGCAAATTTTTGGATGGTGCCAAACCTTATTATTGGCCTGTAGATGGTTGACTTAGAGAATCCCATGAGACCAAAAGAGCATACATTGGAAAAAACGTTAGTGGATAGAACTGAAGTATGGAAAAGAGAAAGTTGGTTTAAAAGTGGAGAGTGGGACATTAATAAATTTTCTTGCATTTGGCATATGAAAGAACATTCGACTTGAGACATAAGTCATGGTGTTGCTGTCCCTTCCACTTCATTTTGTATGTTTACTCAGTACATGCACTCAATCATGTACTCAACCACTTTCTGCATCTCCTTTATTTGACCCTAACATGATTCTAAAGTCAACCTTCAATTCGGTCTGGTCGAGTTGGCGAGAATTATGTGATTTGTTGTCTTCCGACTGTGGATAATGCAGTAACTTTAGAACGAGAGTTCCAATTTCTGTAAAACTAAGGCTCCAAGCAACAGAACTTAATATGTCCAATTCACAAATGTTTCCAATTTTGACAACAATATCCTGGTGAGATTATCTGGCAAGTTCAAAACGAGTTCTCCGCTTTCAAACTGTACAGAACACCAAAATAATGATCTACAAAGTACAGTAATTCGTGTGCCAAATAAATCAGAGAAGGTAGGGTTTCCCTGCGAACCATATGAGCTTCCAAGACTACCTATTTCAATCAATAGGTTCATACTATCCTTATAGTTAGACAGAGTAAAGCCGGACCTCTTCCTTTTAATTTGTTTCCATCTTTCTCTTCCCTTCTTTTATCCATACGAGGTTGCCTTTAAGGTTACAATTCTTACAGCATAGAGATGATGAGTTCGGTCCATGGAGAGGACCTGCACTTTTCCTTGCTGAAGTATGAGTACACGTTTTTCCCAAAAATGCACAAGGAGCACGGTAAGTGGGAATATACGCACCCACACATGTAGTGATCTGAAGTATATTAACAACAATTTACTAAAACGTGCATGCTGAGCACAACATTTTAGGGGATTGTTTGGTGAAGTGAATGGTACTGTATTAGAAATAAAGATGCGCATCTCCTATGGATAAAAAGTGTTCAAACAAAGAAAATCTATCATCATGAATTCATCAATTTGTTATTTAAAGGATGGAACCGGTCCAGAGGAACTTCTTGATGGTCCTAAAAATCCATTTTATTCATCCTCAATCTGCATTATTGAATCTTGTAGGAGATAAGCAAACTTGATGGCTGAAGCTTTGAGTATGCCTTACTAGAGCAAGTGTTTGACTAAGATTAAAAGCATATTAAATTTACTTTCAAGTACTATCTTATTGATTCTCGATATATTTAGAAAAGTTAGTTTTGTTACTTATAAGTAGACAAAGCTAGTTATATTTACAATAAGGTATGAGATACTTCAAAAAGAAACGTCCTACTTATTTTGTCATTGACCAACAAAGCAATCATTTATTCCAAAACTTACTGATTTCATATTTGCTTGTGCTCAGAGAATCATAAGCCCTCTTCTCCTGGTGGCTCATCAAACCCTTCGAGAATTGAGATCTCTTCCTGCTAATTGGTTGACTGTGGTCCAGAACTGTTTCAATTCCTGCAGCCAATTGAAGTTATTTTTCTTACCCTGTCGAAAGAATAACCGTTTCCCTTCATCAAAAAGACTCAGAAACATAATGAAAAGAAGTAATTTTATTTTAATACGAGAACATCAGATGTACAGAGTCGGATTTCGAACGTGATTTATTAAAATTTAATTCATGTCGATTCTCTTTCAAGAACTTGAAAGCATCAGCTAATGCATCAATTCAATTATGCAATGCTGGTTAAATATTACCATGCTTTTTATTGCGTTCATGTATAGTTTCAGAGAAGTGTGTGATCTTTTGTGCTTCTATGGCCAAAACAGCATCAACTCGAAATCTGAAACAGCTTTGTTAGTATCCTCTATTGCTTTAAGGCCACCCCTTTTGACTCCAAAAGAATCATGAAAGATTAAACACAAAAATGTGCAACAACAACAAACAAAGTTTTGCTCCTAAGAAATTTGGAATAGGCCACAACCCCTTTTCTGCCAGTCTATTTATGTCATTGCTAGATCTACGAGAAGATTCCAAACAGAAAATAATTATCATTTTGGGTAATTCTTCTTTTACCGCTTCATTATATGACCGTAAAAAATAGAACATCAAGAGGCAAACCCACTGAAAAGGCCTCTATAGAATCATTACCATTAAAAGAAATGATAATAAAGTTAGAAGATATGCTCCATAATATGGTCCCCATCCTTGAGTTTTCCAATGACAAAATGGTTGGCAAGAAAACTAAGTTCTTCCACTGTCATTTCAAAGGCAAAAAACTTCATTCTTGTCTGCAATTTAGCACTGTGTACTTAGGCCTAGGTATAGATCTTCTTTTGACAAGGCAACCACTCAGAAATCATCCTAAAGAATAACAACAGGACAATTGCTTTTGTTCTGATGTAGACCAATTTTTGTTAAATCGGAATACTTAAACCTAATTGCTGCCATACATTTCATAAAATCAATAATAAAGGACTTCATTAATTGAATAAAGTATAATAATGGGAGTATAGTATATGGGCACCGCCATATATGCGAAAACCAGGTTGCAAACCCTGACGGATGTGTGATGAATGTATACAGTAACATAACAAATGCACACAACTAAAGTCCAAATAACATAGGAGAATATTAATTGTGTTTTCCATAAAATTTTCTTCAAAGAAACTTTATTGAATTACAAAATTCCATAAAAGGGAGATTTTTCAGCCATTTGGGAGAAAGTATGCACTTCCAAAAATGCAGAAGCAATGAAAAAAAGATCCATCATATTCAAATTTCAAAGTGGACTGGATGTTATAAATTCTTCTCATCAGATCTTTCCATTATCGAATTCTCAATTGACTTCAATTTTCAACTTTCCAAAATCAACAATCTAAGTTCTACTCCCAAAAAATTTAAAGTCAGCTATATAAATTCTTTTTTAGCTCTCTGTTTATTTCATTATCTGATCTACTACAACATCCATGTTAATTATGATCTATATATCCTTCTAACATGTTAACTCGAAACAGCATCTCTCCTTAGAAAAAATGGGCCTCTAACCTATTCCATATCGATCACATTACTAGAATCCATTTCTGCTTCTCTAATTCAACACCATCTATAATGAAGAACAAGAAAGCATTATTTACTAAGTCGCGAAGCTCAGATCTTTACAGCTATTATTAGAACACTACTGGACAGGCTAGTTTACCTAAAAAAACCATGACAGGTCTAATTAAAGGCCAAAAAAGGAACCCGAAATAACCTAAGAACTCATGATTCAGCTAAAGAAACTGGCCAGTCCACACCAAGATTTTGTTTTTATTTTTTTCATTTAGTTTTTTTCAACACAGTTTCGACCTTTGAACTTGAATTACCTTTTCCAAGTCAATGCCATGCCTGTTTTTGAACGTTCCCTTGCATTTCCAATCATCAGTTGCTCTGTACTAATTATGTTATTGAACAAGAACCAGAAATTCAAAGTTAAAAACCACAAAGGAATTCAAAATACAATTATACTTCAAAGTACAGAATTTGTTTAGCTTTCCCAATTTTTCTTATCAACCCAACATAGTTACCCCAAATGCAGTATCGAAGCTCACCAGACAGTAATCACCCCAACTGATCAAACCATGTTGAGCACTTGGGCTTGACCCGAATGGTCTCGTTCGACCAGGGCGGAGAAAAACTTCTGATTGCATAAAGAAAGGGCGAGTGCGGCGAGTAGAACGCCGATCAGGTCAGCGGCGGCGTCTTTGGTGGACGCGCCGGCGGACCTGAAGTAGCCAAGCTCGTCAGCAAACTCCTTGGCTGCGCCGGCAAGAAGTGAAACGATGGATCCGATCCAGACACTGTATCGCCGAATTAATGGGTATGGATTTCGGGCTGCGAGGAGGGAGAATGTAATGGAAATGAAGAAGCAGAATAGGACGTGATAGAACTTGTCTAAGGCTAGCCAATCATCGCCATTTTCCATTTTCAAATTTCAGCAGCAATCAATTACTTTAGACTGTAATTAAAACGCCAATTACCTATACAAGAAATTGGTGAAGATGATTCAGGGAGGAAAAAATTTAAAATAAAAATATTGGTGAGGACGATGGCAAAATCGTAAATGGCCAAACAATTCACTATTTTTGGGAGGATTCGGGAGAGGGGCTTGATCGGACTTGGCCCGGTTCAGTCGAGCCCAAATTATACTCTTAAAAAACAGCCCAATAAGTTTCAAAACAGATGAACTATCGGCCCAACTTGGTAACCCCCAGCCTCTAATTTTTGGAAATTACTCATTTAACTATTCGAACCCTACTACACTTACCGGAAGACAGACCCCTGCCAAAATACTCACAATCGCGAGCTTCCGCATACATGTTTTTTTTCATGTGAGACCAACCCCTAAAATGAGGGGTGGGTAAGTCCCCTATAAGAAAACTATTCGATCTTTTCCCCAATCTGCATCCACATCCGGCTTCCGCATACATGTTTTCTTTCCCTTTTTCTTACGGATTTTTTGTCTTCTGATATTTAATTCTGTAATGATGATTGGTTAATTTTTATGAATTATGTTCAAATGTTAATTATCGAGCTGAAAAATTATAAAGAAAATCATAGTTGTTGTATAATTTATGTTTTTATGGGAATTATCAATATTTTTTTAGTCGACCGTAAATCATTTTATGCACTCTCAGTGGAATATTTAAACGAATATCCTCATCAGTTACCATATTTAATAACGAATGAAAAATTGAGAATAAAAATTTAATAATAAATTGAAAGTATAAATATGATGATAAGTAAAAGTCCACCACTAAGAAAATATGGTTTCAAAATATCTACCCCAAAAAAACAAAAATATTTATTAATAATAATAAGAAAAGAACTTCACATATGAAATTGAAGCAAAGGAGATTGAAGTGCCATAAAAACACGAAGAAACATCCTTGTTCTTACAGGTACTAAACATTGATAACATGAAACTGTGAAAGTAACAGGCTCATCATCACTCAAAACTTTAATAAACTTGCTACAAACTGAAAAGCCACTGCCAAAATTGAGATAAACTCGGAGTAGGTCCTTTTTTCACTTCCAACTACGAAATTTGTAAATGTCAACAACATTAATCTCTTTGAAAGTACTCGTGCTTATGCTAATTCATCTTACTAATCAGCTCATTGATCTGATTCTCACGATTTCCCGAGTCTCCACCATCTTTAAATCGTCGTTTCTTACCTTGCAATGCCTTTTCAGGTTTGTTGAGATTAAAGGGACACAAAAAATTGGAAACCTTCTTAAAATGTGGACCGACAGTAGCTATTTCATTCACAACGTCTTCTATGCATATAATGCCATGCTGACCCAATGCCTGCCAAGATAAAATCACAGGATGCGTGTAAGGCAACTGGAGCAGCAAAGAAACTGGGAGCTAGGCTACACAATGTACAAGAGTATTGCAGATACCTGGTCAATTACGTTGTTGTCCGTTAAAGGAACCCTTTCCTTGTCAAGTTTTGCTACTCCTTTCTTGTAAATCAAATCCTTCACACTCTTAAGGTTAGGATATCTACAAATATGAACGAACATGTTAAGAATTCAAGCACATAAAACTTAAAAAACAATACAGATGACAGCTGACAACAGAATATTCAATCATATAAAAATTGCAGAGAAAATGCAAGGATATAAAGGCTTTCAAGAAGAAATCCAAAGTTCGTAATTAGAAGTCCAATCTTCTTGGGCTAAAAAAATCTACACGCAACTGGCAATTCTATTTTACTCCAGTAACCAATGATCCACTTGCAATTTAAATATCGGATGGCTACCATTACTACTGCAGATCAACTATGTTACTCCTCCACACTTTCAGCCAAAAGATTCTTTGACCCTCTGCTTAAAGATAAGCTGTAGCCTCTATTTTAAGAGAGTGATTTCCAGAGATGAAATTTCCATTAAGATGGCTTCTGCTTAAAATTAAGCTACTAGGCAAAAACTGCAAATTTATTTGCATTCTGCAAGTTGTTTACGCGTCTAAATAAAGCTAATTCATTTCTTTATACAATATCAGATTATACATATATAGTCTTCAGTATAGTCCAATGTTGTAATATTTTGCAGTTTAAAAATAGAAAGGTTCAAATGACAGCTAGATATGCTCTTTCTAGATTTGATTATATAAGCTTGGCATCACAACAAAGGACAATCTTTCAGCAACATATATGCTACAAAATTGTCCTATCTTTATGGGAGGAGATACGTATAACATAACAACTGAAGATAAGCAACATTGAAACCATGCAACTTGGTTAAATTCAGATGTTATCCAATGATTGAGCACAAAACACGCCTTTTGACATGAACTACAAGATGGTGATATCCTTTTTGAGCACAATCATTGTTAAACTCCATATTGTTTGTCGAGTTCATTATAATATTCATTTAAGCATGGACTAATTTTAACGAGACTATTCTGACCTAAAACAACCCCTTGTAAACTATCAAACAATATAAGGTCAATCCAAGGGCCTAATGATTATATCGAAGATCCAACAATAACAATATTAAATGATTTGATGTACCCATATGTCACGTAAGGTTCCACTTTTTGCAAATGTTCCATTATTGCTCCGTTTGCCTTCACAAACACCCCACTGAAGGTTTTCCTCAATCTCAAAGAGTACAGGACCTTTCGAGTTTTGGGGTGCATATCCCTTTTTCTGTAATGACCATAAATTTTAGGATATAAATCATGAAAATAGCAAATCACAGATATACCAATTTAACAAGAATCATTTGTTTGAACATACCCTCCTATGCGTATGACGAATAGGAGCCTGGATTCTGGTGTCTCCAATGGTTGTCTTTTTCGCTTTCCTCTTTGCTTCATTTGAACGAGGTCCAATTCCTGGATATACAAACAGCATGTTAAGATTTTGAATACTCAATCTATCATAAAAAGCACTTGTGATCAAACAACTGATACTGCTTAAAAAGTTAAAGGTTATATCTTATGCGGATATTAGTGATATCAGTTTCTCAATAGTGACAGCGGCGGGAAAATCCAAAACAAGTGCATGCAGATGCAGAATCAGCTGAACTTGCTAAAGCAATACATTTCTTAGCAGAAATTTTAACCTAACAGGGAAGCAAATTTTACCCTTTCCCAGCACAAACATAAGCTAGAACATATATAAATTCGTTATTTAACATAGAAACTAGAAAGCAACACCCCAACAATCTATTATCTAATAACATTGTCTTGGTCATGACGAAAATTCAACCTCATACAAGTATAGAAAATCCAGCCAACCTGAGCAAATAGATGAATCTAGAACATGCCACAGATGATGCACTAAAGACTTCAACTCAGTTATTGGGCTGTAAAATTCCAAAATGTAAAATCTATTGACATAATGGTGTATTATAGTAAGCTGATTTTCACAATTGTATAAAGTTTTAGCTAAACCAGCATCGGTTCCCACTAGTTCACGGAAATAAATTTGAATATCCTTTATAAAAAATATTTAAAGACTAGAAACCAATCCATATGTAAACATCATCAATTTAGCATAATGATTTACACTTATGCATCTGACATAGAGTAGCTCCAGATAAAGAAAATAGACTTCAATATTCCAATCCGTCAAAACTTCGTATTTACATTGTTGCATGTGCTCACATATTGGTTAATTAATTTTATTTGTATTGTTAGCTGCAATTATATGTTACAGCAAGTATTCAAAGCCCTCTTGTAACATTTATGAAATGTTAAAAGAAGGATGAGGAAAATCCAATAAATTGTACACATTTTCGTATAAAAGCAGAAAAAAACAAATAGAAATAAAAATAAAAAACAAAAGTGGAAAAAGAGAATTATCCTAAAACAATTACTCTGTCACGGTATTCTCTGATAAATTGATCAGGCTTCTTGATGAAGAAATTATCAGATTTGAGACGCTTGACCCTCTCCTCTAACTGCAGCTTTCTTCTGATTGCCCATTCCTCGTTATTCCTCCTCTTCTTCAATAACACCTCAGGTATATAATTCAGAGGCTTCGATTCCTCTTCTGTTGCCATGAATTCCTTTGCACTTCTCCAACAATAATCCCACTGATATAAAATAAAGAAAGAAAATCAGAAAAATTTAACCTGTGCTATAAAATACAGATAAAAACCAACGCTCAAAACACTCGACACATGATCTGGGTGGGCAAGGTCATTTCGGTAGAAAGGTTTTCAATCCAAATGCAAGAGCAAAAAAGAAAATAGCCGAATCAAAGTAAAATGGCTACTGGACAGTGTAAAACAATGGTGCCAACAAAACAAAAAGGAAATTAGTAAGCACAAACAATGAAATATAAGGCAATAGGTAAGAATAAAGATTCGTTCATGAATTTGAAGTTCTTTCAACACACGAACACACCCAAGTAAACCCATGTTTTTTATATGAGAAAAAAAAAAGTAAAATAGGAACATTCACATAAATCAATAAAGCCAGCTCACATTGCAAGTATGTTGATGCATATATACAGATACCTAGCAGAGATCCCAAATATGTAAGAAAATAACCAGTAATATTCTAGATTGAAGATTCTTTGGAATTAAAAAAAATAAGCTGAGCCCAGTAAAGAGGAATCGTGTTTTTTTTTTTCTTGAATATTAGGGCAGCAAAATAACGATAAAAAAATAGGCCTGAAAATTAATTTCATGAATGATTACTAAAAAATAGTTACTACTTGCTCACCAATCTTTAAAAAGTTACTCATTGTTCATTCAACCTTGCTATAGATTACCACTCATTCATCGAAATTTAAAAAGTTACTCATTGCTCACCTAAATTTGAATAAAGTTACTCGTTGCTCACTAAACTTTGCAATATGTAACACTCCGGGAAATGATATGGGTGTTTGATCAGTAACTTTGTTCAAATTTGGTTGAGCAATAAGTGCTGTAGCAAAGTCCAGGAAGCAAAGAGTAACCTTTTAAACTTCTATGAGCAAGTGGTATCTTATAGCAAAGTTAAGTGACCATTAATTAAATTAACTCATGTTTTTTCTATTTCAATATCCCATTGTTGTTTTTTTTTTTTTCTTGAACATTAGGGCAGCAAAATAAAGATAAAAAATAGGCCTGAAAAATAGTCCAGCTTCAATTCATCACCCTTTTCTTTCTTTCTTTTTCCTTTTTGATATACAAAGATCTCAGCAATTAAATTTCAAAAAATAAAAAATAAAAATGATGACAGGACCTTAATAAGCAAAAATGCCGCACCATCTCTAAAAGTTTCCTTCCCAAAATTTTCACTCCTAAATAACATGCAATATACGCCTTTTATCTTCTTATTATACATAAGTCCAAGAGGAAGAAAAAAAGAGCAAACTCATGGAAATGAAGATTACCACGAAGAAGAAGACTAGCGAGTCTAGTGTGCAGCGGGCGGCGGGGGGATTGTTGAAGAACTTGCAAACGGTCTTACGTTTCGGAGTGATTCTGATCTTTTCTTTTTAACCCTAAATAAATACTGAACGCCGGCTGGTTTTATTTTTTAGGGTGTGTTTGGCAAATAATCACATGGCTTATATTTTCCAAACATGTTCTCCCATGTTAATAAATAATTGCACCGCTGGTCCTAACTTACATTTGCAAGTTATTCATACCATTTAAACTATTGTAAGTTGGTCTTTAACCTTTTCATTTGTTTTCATTTTTTTCATTTTTTTTTAATTAAAATGTGAAGAGTCCATTTTGTTCTTCTTAAAAATAGTAAACTGAAGTTTAATCACTGAATTTTTTGTCAACTTAAAGACTTTGGACGGATTTCATTCAAAAGTCCTTGTGTTACATATTTTTGCATACATTTGGGATGATGGTGCCGAAAATAGAAGATTTTGAAACCCCACCGAACATTTTGAAATGTTAAACAGAACCATTAACTTACTAATGCAAATCAGAGGATTGTTTATCTCATTGTCACATTTTTGGTTATGCAATTGCATTGTTCCTGGGAACTTAAATTGGTCGAAAGTGGGGCAAGTTAATAATGGAGATAAGGTCTGTGGAAGGGGTGAGTTCAGATAACCAGATCCGGTCGAAGCAGAAGCTATTTTGCCTGAGATCTTCAACCCTTGATTGCTGGTTCAAACTCCACTCTGTATGGTTACACGAGAAGCTAAAATTTGGTCCGTTTTATCCAATGATGTAAAAAATTTCAACGAGGCTCCATTCGTTGTCCATTTGATTCTTGGCAAAATTTTGACATGCACATGCAAGAAACTACCACATTGCGTTTAGGAAGTGGTTTAAGATAATTGATTCTGTAATATAGTTACAGCGATTCATCCTAAAGCAAGGGCAGAACTTATTCAAGTATAGAAGTTATATATTTGATGCACTATCCACAAAGAACATAGAGGCTTGATTCTTCCTCCAAATTAAGATTCAGATCTGGAAGTACAAACTTAGCTTCACATGGAGCAACTGTCTTATCTTCAGAAGGCCCGTTTGGAGGATAGCATTGCAGCGAACCACCATTTCCTAATACAAAGGGTGGGAAGATAGGGATATGATATTGTGCTTCTGACTTTTGCTGGAATTGACAGTGAATTGCTTTCTCGGATTCAATCAATGATCTTCTTTCAGTAGCGGATTCAAGCTGTTCCAAACAACAATGTCAATCGCTACACTTACAGAAAATAACAGTTACGCGAGGGGGCATAAAAGATATCATCTTGCTATGTGTCTTGGTAAATTAAGCAAAGTTCAACAGTTTACCGGATGCAAGGCTATACATTTAGTAAGTAACATAATCACAAACATTTTTTATAAGTGATTAAATGATATGTAATGTAAAGGAAAAGAGAAGAATGGACCAGAAGTAATTGCACCTTTAGTCTCTTCAGACTATCATTTGTAGCCTTCTGTTTCTCCAAATTTGTGCGTAATGCCGCTATTTTCTGTGCAGTTTCAAGTCAGAAAATTAGAAAATTTATGTGATTTAGTATAAAGCATTGAAAAAGTATATACCCTTTTCAATTCTCCTTTTTCCTTATCAAGCAAGTACTCCTCTACTTGAAGCTCTGCCAAGGTCTGCAAATAAACAGCAAATAAAGTAGGTTTCTAAGACATTTGTGAATCTAAGTACTAAAAAGTGCTAATGAATTTCTGTTTTGTTGATTGATTCATTACATTTTCTGATGCAAAACCTCGTACCAACTCAAAGCTTCCAAGCGTAGAACAGAAAAAGTAGAGTTCATACTGTAAATTTTACTACTAGAGTTTTATCCATAATGGTTTAAGGAATCCATTGTCCAATTACTGGACCATCAGAAACCTCAACCCGGGATTTCATGGTACAAAACACCATGCGCTTAAAACTAATATATACTCAAATAGCTCAGTGGACCCAACGGTACTCACCTTCTTCTTTCTTGACCTCTTCATGGATTTTTCACCATCGCCATTAACCTGAAGCATGAAATTAAAAAAATCTCACACTTAATGCAAATATTGTTCAGTGTTACTTGTGAATAGTGGATGTATCAATGGATGTACATTAAGAGCTAATCCATAAAATTATCTCAGAATAAATTCTAATAGACGAGCTTCAGTGGCAATAACCTCAGGTCCTCAACCGTGCAACGAAGAGTGTCTTCGCACGGCTTAATGACACGCAAGGCTGCCAAGTTACAGCCCAAGTGACTACTACTGAAATTCAAGCTGGTTGACTTTTTGGTCAAAATGAATAGTTTTAAAAAAAAAAAAAAAAAAAAAAATCTGTAATGCACTGCTAGAAATATACTTTTGTGAAATGTACTTTTGTAAATTAAGATCAATTTGACTACCAAAGTCAAGGATGTACATTAAGAGCTAATCCATAAAATTATCTCAGAATAAATTCTAATAGACGAGCTTCAGTGGCAATAACCTCAGGTCCTCAACCGTGCAACGAAGAGTGTCTTCGCACGGCTTAATGACACGCAAGGCTGCCAAGTTACAGCCCAAGTGACTACTACTGAAATTCAAGCTGGTTGACTTTTTGGTCAAAATGAATAGTTTTAAAAAAAAAAAAAAAAAAAAAATCTGTAATGCACTGCTAGAAATATACTTTTGTGAAATGTACTTTTGTAAATTAAGATCAATTTGACTACCAAAGTCAACTAGTGTCAGGAAAAATTGATGTTATGAGTTTGACAAGGGTACCCAGAAATCGTTTTGTACATAGCTATTATCTCAATACAAGAGTGCCACTACCTGAGTGTGGACATACAATAAAAGTTACACCATATGGTTAACAATAAAAGTAAGGCAAAACATGCCCCCGACATTAAAAGGCAGTACATTCTCCGTGAAAATTCACTGGAATTACTTTCGCCATTGATGAGAAAGACCTAAGGATTTAGGAAACTCACAAGCCAAATACCACGTGTGCCTGTGCGCGCACGCAATGCGTACATGTCAAAGTTATACCACAAAGTTAAATACATGCATATTGCATACCATACGGGCTTGTCACAGATTTTAGCACTTACTACTACACTCTAATTTCAAAGCCCCGTAGAATCGCACTAGTTTAAAGAAAAATAGATATGCATGATGCAATATTTTATACGACCATATTAATTCAATAGACCACAGAGTAAAATATGAACCACAACGCCTCAAATATAAAACTCTAAACAACAAAAAGGTTAAAGTATACGTGGAATTTAAACCTATGCCACGCTAATATCTAACCAAATCTACTTACTTGGACCCATAAGTAAAAAGTAACCCAAAATTCATAGAAAAAGAATTGCCATAACACTGTCAAACATATAAATCACAGCTAATTACATAACCTTTAATTCTTTAACCTAAAAGAGGAAAAAGATAAAAAAAAAAGTCAGTATTCTTCAACTTTCACTACATTAAGCTCTTGTTTGGCTCCCATTAATTTTCATTCCATTACATTATATTTTTCTCTCTCCTATTTTCAGCCACACGATTTTCCAGAAAATAATATTACACGTAAACCGAAAATTTTTCCTTCCTTTTCAACCACTCATTTTTCACAAAAACATTATTCCGCCCATTTTCATTTCTAAAAAATTGGGGCCAAACAGGGGCTAAAAGGCAATTTCAGCTACAACGAACTTTTTTTTTAATAAATTTAAAGTTGGCTAATTAATATACGATGAGTGTGCCCAGTAGATTCGTGCCGAGCCACGATGCAGCTGCGCACACTGGATTGTGTCCCATTATAATAAAGAGGTTTAGCGCACAACCACTAACAAAACATCACCAAATTGCCATGGAAACACGCCACCGCTTACAGAAGGGCATCCACAACCCCACATCTAAATTGACAAAAATACCCCTCTACTGACCCCAAAATGTGTAACACAAGTCACATAAATATTCTTTAAAACGACATTTTTTGTTTGAAGAAACGGATGGACAAATTACCTTTGGATATGGGGTGTTATTGTAGCTTCCATCATAACCGTAATGGGTCCAGGAAAGGGTTAACTAGAAAAAGCGACAAGTTAACATTGATGACAAAAAAACATGTCCCGTCCCAAATGGGGGCAAAAAACACCCGCCCCAAATGGGCTGACGGGACGGGGACATTTTTAATTATGCAGATAAAACGATAAATGGTAAACTAAAAACTCCAAAGAACAAACTTTTATATTTAAATCATACATTCAACAACAACCAATAAAATTAACAAACCGTATCACATTTTATCATTTCAGAGCAAACATCATTCATTTGAACCAACTTATATTTGAATCAAAAATAATTTTATTTCTAAACAATTCTCCCATTAAAAATCTATTTTTAATTTGTATTTTATTCTCCAATAATAAAATTTTGAAAATGTATATAAAAATAAAAATAAACGGACACGAACGAAGGACGTGCAGGACGGGGCGATATTCGGGCGAGGTGGGGCAGGGCAGGGGCGCCCTTCCCGTTGCCATCCCTAAATCAGTTGTTTATCTGACTCTGACCATTTACATTGAAAAAAGTCGCACATATTCCGGCAGCCGGAGAATATTACCAGCATCAGATCAGTGCATTTACTAAAGAGCTCATGCAACAGACGGAATGGGTAAATCTGAAAATATCCGAATTGTGTTGGGGCGTTTTCGTCAAACGAAAATTTGAAGCATCGATTGACAAATTGTCAATTGAGTATCTGACACGAGACTCTACTGAACAGTGACTCGCCACCGGAAAAGTGAACATTGTCGCCATTGAAAGTTGAAACTCACGGTTACCAACTGAAAAAATGAGAAATATGAAAGATTCCACGTGTACAAACCTCAGATCTCGGGGGTTTAGATAGTTTTGGGTCAGAGGATCGGCTGGACTCTTCAGGGCCACCGTCAACTATGCCAGCACTTCCACCACATCCACCACTGATAGAGGCGGCTCCGCTCCATGACAGTGGCGTTGTGGGACTAGCTCTGAGACCCGGTTTCGTGGTGGAGTCAGTAACGAAGGGCTTAGACCTGCGTTGACGCACGCTCCACTCAAGTGGCAAAGCCGTCGGTTTAAGAGCCACCGACAGCAGCGGGTAAGACTGTTTGAGCCGCAGCAGCAGCTCCACCACCATGACGTCATCGCTCATAGCTGCTTCCACCCACTCCTCGTCACTAGTCATGGTATATTGGTTTTCGCTTTATTATCTTATGGGGAAAGAAAGGAATATAGAAAGAGATGAAAAGGGAGAAATGGAATGGCTTTGGCGAAGTCGCGAAGATGAAGAAAAGAAAATCTGATGTAAAATAAGGGGGCACGAGTTTTAATTTATATATGTGCGTACACCTGCATGTGTTGTGAAAGTCCTTGTATTGTGTTTGAGGGTTAGTGCTGGTATGTATGTATTTTAATGACTTTACCGTGAGCTATTCATTTTTATGATCTCGTCACATTATAAAATTGTTAGTGTATTTCATAGTAACATAAATTGGTAATGATCTTGGAATTCATGTTCCCATTTGAATTATATCTTATCGAATTATCTTTAGTGGACTTTGATATCGTATTGAGTCCCTGTTGATAGAGATTTTTTAGAATAATATTTGTAAAAAGTAATTTTATTGGAAATGAGTGGATAAAAGATTATAAAATATTATGTGTTCAAGTGTAAAATTATTTAATTTGAAAAACGTGTAATTGAAAATAAGTTTGAGAAAAATTAATTTTGCAAACGAATAATGTTATTTAACGTCAATGGTGTTAAAGTACCAATTTAGATTACTACACTTTATATGTTAAATTAAATGAGTTACATAACTTTGTATTTAAACGAATGAATACTGTTACTTGTACATAATGAGTGTTAAAAAGAGTGTGAATAAAAAAATTTATTATTTGGTTGAAGAAATTTTGATTCAACTATATCTCACAAAATCATTTGTATGTAAACTATTATATAAATCATTATGTACAATCGTAAATGAAGAATAACACTTGGATTGGTGTGCTTAACACTGATAGTTATGAATAACATTACTCTTTGAAAAATGGGCAGCTAAAGAGTAATTAAAACTTGAGATTCCAGTATAAAATATCAATATCATTAAAAGAAGTAACGCAAACTATGTTGGTTTATAATTTTTAATCGAGTTGAGATTCTTTTTTTGGGTAAATGTGAATTATATTAATCAAGATGATTTACAATTATACAGGGCAAATCTGGGCTAGTATGTCCCATCAAGTCCACGTACAACTACACTGGGCATTTCCGAACAAAACAAACAAAATACAAATGAGGAGGTACAACCAATATAGCTAATGACTCACTCATATTGAATCAAAATATTCAAATACAAAGAGAACATGATTTTTTATATGTGTGTTTTGATTATTTGAACAATACTATCAATACATGATTTGAGAACTTCAAAAATCTTTCCATTCCTTGCCATCCAAATGTGGTAAACGGTAGTAGTAGTAAGTGCAATACACTTTGTTTTGCAATGTCAAGATGTTCCCCGACTTTTCTTTTTGATCCATTTTAGTGCACTAGGCAATGTAGACATAGACCTTCGAAGACCTACCCAAGGAAGGACTTTCTCCCAAGCAGTATGACTAAATGAGCAACCAATGAATAAACGACCAGCCGTCTCATCCAATAGTTGCAGTCAATCTACAAGTAATGCAATTTGTCCTTAGTGAGCAATTTAGATTTAGCTGCCAACCGTAGGGTACAAACATGCTTTGGCGTCACATATGCATTTCAAACTGATTTTGCCTGGATCGTCTCTATCCCCTTCAGCCTGAAAAACTCATACGTAGCAGAAATATTGAATCTGTCATCACATCTCCAGCAATTTTTAAATAAGAGGCGAATCATCTTTCCTTGGCAAAACACCCCAAATACTTGTCCCCTTAAGATAGAACTAATTAACCCAACGTATCCAAAGAGTGTCCTTTTGAGATGTGTTCATTGGCTGTGATCTTGTCTAACGAGGATGAGAAATATAACATTAATTGTTAGAAAATTGTGGAAGGATTCTTCTTCCTTTTAGGTCATTCTTTTCAAACGTGGGCCCACTTAAAACACGTTGTACATAAGAGGTTTGCATTTATTACGGCCCATTTACTACTTTTATGGATAAAAAAATAGTTGTTGTGTCTTTTTATTTGTATTTGGTATTGAGTCCTGTTTGTTCAATTTTAAAAATAAATTAAGTTTCAATCACAAATTTAATGGAATTATAATTTTTCATCTGCATATTCCATTAACTTTTATAGAAATTTACTAAAAAAATTAATTTTTATCTAAGTCAAAAACGGTCTGAATAAGATAGTAGATGCATTTCATTTTCTACTTTTTAACAGTTACGTCCTTGTTTAAGGTAGACTCTGCCAAAAGCATGTATGAAAATTCTTTATTTGGATGAATTTCACGTTAGAAGAGCTCTTCTCAAATAAAAAGTACCATATATATTTTGAGTTTTCGCTGCTTTGTATTTATTCTTGGCAAATAATTTTAACCACTTGGGGATAAGTATAATGTATGAAGAGAGCAGGGTAAAGAATGTTGGGAATTATCGTGAGTATGAGTGAAAGTGTGGGGACCGTGACGCTTGAGGTAGAGGTGGACTAATCCAGATATATCACTCAATCTTATGACCTATAAAGACGTGACAATGATTTTTTCTTTTTTGAATTCCTTCTTACACCTTTATACATTATTTGAATAGTTTATAGATATTATTCAATTATTCCTTACCAATCAAGTGGTTAAAATGGGTATTCCGATCAAGTGTGCTCAATTGTAAAGAGAGTCTAGTCCAACCAACAATTCAATTCTTGTTTGATTTTATCTCAAATTAGAAATAGGTCATATTATGGGTTTGCCCATTGTAAAGTGATTAGGACATGGATGTTGTAAACAAGTGTTACTTTTTTAAATTAAGAGGTGATTAGAATTTAGAACTTACATTTCAGAAGAGTTTTGCTACATATATATCGGGGTTAACACTTCGATGTACCCCTTACATGGTGGATCCCAAGATTTTTTTATTGTAGTAGGGCCCATATCCTCATGTGAGATGAGTGTCAACCTCGGTGTACAAATAACATTTTCTATTTCAAAATCACATGCATAATACGTGGGTTGGTTCATCAACAGTTCGATCCTTGTAGGCAGCTCTTACTTTGAAACCAACTTTATGGGCAAATGTTACTTTAAATCAAGGGTGTAGGGAGGAGACTGGCCCCTGCACCCCAAACCCGTTTAATCTTTAGTGATTAAAAAAGGGGGAAAAAATAGGAATCTGTATATTAGCTTATTAAAAAATAAATAAAAAAGAATTGTTCCTCTCGGCTCCGTCTCCACTTTAAATATGATGTGATTAGAATGAAACCCAAACAAGCTATAATTTTACTAACACGTGACCATATTGGGAAAATGGCAAACTTCAGCGACGGTTTGATCACGATAAACATTAAGGACCAATTTCAAAATTTGCTGCGATTTTAAGGACCAATTTTATATTAAACCAAATCCTAAGTTTTTGCTAAATTTCCTCTATAAACTTTCTAAAATATGCTTTTATTTGCTCAAAATTTCGGATTTGTCACGCTGTGGCCCCAAGGTGTGCCTCTTTTAGATTAAAGACAGCAAGTCTTTATCCAAATGCATGATAGAATGGGTCCATGTCCAATTTTAGTGAATTTTGTCAATTTGTCTCACCCCTTTATTTGTCATCTTAAAGGTTGAATCCTAACTTTGAGGGCCCCATCCCGCCCTTAGAGTATCGTGAGGAAGGTAAATTGCGAGATGTGTCTCAGCAGGCCAAGGAACAAGAACTTGCCCGTACACTAGTATCCACAAAGAGTCCAATTTCATATCTCAAAAATTCAACCCTCATACTATGACTGTCAGCAAGGTTGCGACTACCCTCACTCCTGTCCTTTGCACCACTGGGTCATCTTCATCCCATTTCCAATAGTTTCCTTTATTTTATTTAGAGGATAATTGACAGTTCGTAGTAGAGCTAAATTTTGTCATCTTCAAATAAAGCTATAGCGAATTAATTGTTTCAATGGTCACTAAATTTAGGTCAATATTTTTTATTGATCACTAAAGTTTAAAATGTCGGGTTTTGATCACTGAAATTAGGTCTATGTCTTTGATTGTTCAATAAAGTTTAAAATATCAAGTTTTGACCACTGAATATTGAAAAATGTTGTACACACGTTACTAGCATAAATATTGAATTTTGAAAAAATGTCGAGTTTGCAGTGAGTAATATACAACATTTTTCAAAATTCAACAAGAAAAACTGTTAGATTCGACTTATTTGTGAGTAGTCAAGATGATTGTTTGTGAGTGCAAAGTTCAACCCGCAGGAGCGTAGTTAAACCACAATTTTATGAAGTGGAAGTATAGTACAAAATCACAAAATCAAGATGAAATAAGGAGTAGAAAAGGAAATTCGAGGCGAGTATAACTCTTTCCTTAAGACAAATTGCCCCGCTACGGTGTTCACGGTTGAATGACAAATGTCTCCCAAGATACAACGGATACACACTTGTGGTAACAGCACTTCAAACCACAAGAACAGAGAAACTTCAACGAAATTTTCCCTCTACAAAGGAATGTTATGAGAATGAGAGAATGATGAATTGCAAGAGAAGAATGGATGCCCAATGTAATGGTGTACTCAAAATCACGTCCAAATGGTCCTATTTATAGATGTAGAAAGGGTGCAAATTAAGTAGTGTGTGCCAAATCATGCATCCTTTCAAAAAATTACAACACTTAGCCAGAATCTCCTTTCAAAAAGTTGCAACACTTGATTAAAACCTACATCCTTTTGAAAAATTGCAACACTTCATTTCTTCCAATTTTGGACCGCTATTTCTCATTCATTCGGAATTGGTTTCGAGATTTCAAATATACCACGACGATCTACTCAACGAGTAGAATAAGTTAGTCTATTTACTTTTGTAATTTAACTATCGGATCAAGTCTGAATATTTGATCAAAGTTGCACGAAGTCACACCTTTTCATACTTAACCAAATTTTTTCGGTTAATTCTGTTATTTTTGAACCAATTCCCACAATTCCCCACATGAATGGAAATTCGAGTATGCACATGTAATGCTATGATATGATACATTGTAAAGAGAGAGCAGAAAGCCACTGCATCGAGGATGGTAGCTTCTGGCCTTGAACCTCCTGTAGTGAAATACCATCGGACTTACTCGGCTAAGTGGTGAACGTGATGTCTTGAACCATTCAGCCTTTGGTGTAAGCCAA